ACTCAGGTTTTCTGTCTTGTCCTAGCTTTGGGTGGATTAGGGCCCCAAGGGTCAGGATCTCCCTTAGGACTGTCTGCATAATCTACCCCCTCCCCACCTCCATTTTTCTCTATCTCTAGATTGTCATTGTCCCCTGGGTCCCTCCAAGGTCTCTACCCCTACCTGGAAGGCCTCTTCTCCAGGGTCCTGTGTCCCCAGCATAATAAGGCCAGCTGTGCTGACAGGGGTCAATCTCTGCCACCCCCAGCTCACTGGGGGCTGTGGTTCACAGTCAGCCACCAGAGTCACTGTCCAGTTGTCTACACTGACTGCCACCCGGTGCCACCTGGAGGGAGAAGGAGTTCAACCTTGACATGCAGGTGGGAAATGCTGCTGATCCCTCTTTTCTCAAACTTCCAGCCCTTCAATCTGAGGTTAACTGATCCGAGCTCCAGATGCACTCACCTGCCATCCATGAGATCAACTGTCGTGGGAAGCAGACTGGGGCTGGGGGGGTCAGATAGGAGCTGGGTTGGCTGCCCCACTCCTAGCCCCAGTTGCCTCACTCCCCTTTCATCATAAATGGACAGGAGGACAGCCTGACCAGATGAATAGCCCCTCAGGGTGACCAGCAGGGAAAAGTTCTCTGGAAAGTGACCAGCTGGGACAGTGGGAGAAGATAACTCAGAATTGGGCCTCCCCAGATGGCCTTGACTACCTCTCCACACATCCTCCCAGCTTCCCCTCCCAGCTCTTACCTGGCCAAAGTCGCCCTGTGGGGACACTGAGCTGGCTGGAGTTTCCCACCCAGAACGCTCGATCTCCTTCTGGGGACCTTTGGGGGCAGAATCCTAGCACTTCAGGGACCTTGGCTCTGCCTCCCTTGACTCCCAATGCCTGAAGCACATCTACAGGGTTAGCTGAAAGAACAAACCACAAGGTCATGGGTGCTGGGGCGAGACAGGGGCTGAGACAGCCTAACTCTTCCCACATATTGGTCTGATGCTGGGGAGCTGATGTTTGGGAAGGGAAAAGCCAGGATTAGGAGTTTGAGAGGCAGGACATGGGCCTGGGACACCATTTTCTCTGCTCCTACCACCCCCACCCCCAGCTGTTCCATCCTGTTAGGCCTTTGGCTCTAATCTTTTTTTACTTGGTCTTTGGTGAGAAAAAATCTGACCTAGTTTTAGGATGAATCAAAAGTTCCTGGCCTGAGCCCCAGAGCCTGACTCTGTCTTTTCTCCCCCAGTCCCAGCCCAGGGCCCCTGGGCCCTTACAGCTCTCACCCTTGCTCCTAGTCAGGCTGTAATCTCAGCTCTTCTCTCTCCTCTTCCCCTGGGGTCCTTACCCCTCTTACTCCCTCTGGCTCCTGATCTTTTCCCAAGAAACAAGGGGAGGGGAGCCCAAGGGAGAACATATATGCAGAGAATGTACATTCCAGGTTTGTTCTTCTTGATGTGTCCCCTCTGCACATACACACACAGAGGCAAGCTGGCAGCATAAAGAGACCAGATGTGGAGCAAATGACCCCCTCACCCAATGTCCACAGAGCCATCTCCCACTGAGAAGCACGCATTGGGGGTGCTTAATGACCATCCCTCCCCAGTCTCTCAAAGTAACATAGGTACAGGAATGGAGGGAGGGCAAGGGACAGGTAGGGGAGGGATATGATTATGGGGGGGGCCTTATGTAAAACAGCCCCCACCCTGGGAAAAGCCAAGTAGTCCAAGCACAGAGACTAAGTGAATCCAGATGGGCCCCTCCCTTTGCTGCAGAGCAGCACTGAGGAGGAGCAGGGGGCTTCCCTTGGGCCCCCCCCACCCAACCTCCTGTCCTACTGACCTTCTGACCTGAGATTCTTGGCAGAATCAAGATTTCCACAGAATCTGCCATGATCTCACTCCAATCTCCCAGCCCTGCTGACTTCATCAAAGGGGAGGCAGGATTCCCCCCCCAAGAAGGGGGAAGATTGAGGGAGGGGTTTCCATTGGACCCTCAGAGCTTCCACCCCCCACACATACACACACTATAGATCCTTCTTTGGTAAAGTTCCACATAAGACAATCTTCTCTTCCCCTTTCTTGGGACTCATAAACTTGTCTCATCAATTGTCTCTCCCTGTGTGTATTTGTGTTTATTTTTGCCTTTTTTTTTTAAACTGATTCTGAATTTCATAGCCTGGCAAATAACTGGACTGTCAGGAAATGGGATCTGGGTTAGAGCCTGTCCTGACTCCTACCCTTCAGTGTGTGTGAGAAGGATTTGGAGGGAAAAGGGGAAGGGTTAGTGTCAGGGCTCCCTTTGGGGGTAAGGGTTGAAACAGGGGCTGGGACTCGGGCTCCCTGCTGACCATAGGCATCACTCCCCAGGGACCGTCACTGGCCCATAGTAAGGGAAGAAATACAAGTGGTGATCTAGCCTCTCTCCCCCATCAGCCCTCCCACAACCATTCTACTTAACTGCCCCCTCCTCAATCTTTGGGATGGGAGTGTGAAGGGAGCAAATACTTTTGAATTGCTAATTCTAACAATTCCTGACATTTGTAATTTTTCCTAACATCTAACCTAAATCCCTCCTGTTTCCATTTCAGGTTCTTCCCCTTTCTTCCTTGGATGACTTTTCTAAAACTTATGGCAGTATCTGGTGCTCTCTCTAGTCTTGGAGTTAGCTCATTCCTTCCCTTTTCCCCAGGCCAGAGTGACCAAAGACAAGAGGCCTTTAGTCCTAGAGGATGGGGGCGGAGTTGGCATCAGTGGCCTCTCTCCTCTCCCCCATTCCAACTCTCTGCCAAGCTAGGGCCTAGGGAAAGAATGAAATGGGTCTGGGGCAATTACAGAGCTCAAGGTCTTCTTTATGGACATTGAAATACTAAGATGGGTTAGCTCTGGGGAGCAAAGGGACTTCCAATGACAGATGTGGGAGAAGGGCTGTAGCCTTCCCAGAAGCAATCAGGACAGAGTACTTCAGAGTCACCTCCCCTTGAGGAATGCTTGTTGTAGAGGAGGGAATGGGGACTCCTTCCCCTGGGGGTAGAGAGATCCCCCCCCCCATGCCAGATATGCACAGCTGCCTATGCGTCACAGTCGCTGATGACTCACTCAACCCAGGCCTAGCGCCACCCCGGGGGATGCTGAGAAATTAGAAAGGAAAAACACTATTAAACTGGGTCGCAGCTGGTGGGGGAGGAGAAGCTATCTGCCCCCTCCAACCCAGCCCCTGAACCCAACCCCGCCCCTCCCCTTCTCCCTGGGCCCTGTCCATGGTGCTGAGCTGAGCGGCCTCAGGGACCGCCCAGGAGCCCCTGTGTAGGAGGAAGCAGGCGGGGCGCCCAGGCTAGGGACTCCAGGCAGGCGGGCAGAGCACCCATAGTCAAAGGAAGCAAATGGGATTGGAGTTTGGAGAGAAAGGTGGAGACATGGGCAAAACCACTCTAGGGTAGGAAGGATGACCTGGGAAGCAGTTCAGACCCCCAGGGGGCGCCATCATCTCCCGCTTTTACTCTCCTCCCCCAAAGCCAAGGGATGGGCAGAAGCTAAAGAGATAAATCCTCTCTCAGCTAAACTTCTTCCGCAAATACTCACGCCCTTCCCACATCACCACTACCACAGACACAGATACAATAAAAATAACAGATTTATGCAACATAATTACACACAATTTCCATACACAATCTCACTCATATTAATACAATTATTGTTGTTCAGTCGTGTCTGACTCTTCGTGACCCCATTTGGGGTTTTCTTGGAAAAGATACTGGAGTGGTTTGCCATTTCCTTTTCCAGCTCATTTTACAGATGAGGAAACTGAGGCAAATAGGGGTAAGTGACTTGCCCACGGTAGCACAGTTAGTAAGTGTCTGAGGCCAGATTTGAACTCGGATCTTAATTAATTCAATCACTGATACATAATCATTGTCTCTCACACACCCCCAATACACAGTGTCATACATATACACGCACCCCTTTATCACACATATAATCATTAAATCATACACTGAGACACATTTGTCTCCAACCGCCACAGAATACATACCCACCATTCAAACAGTACCAGCCTCACACACAAACACGCAATCATACACCCAGACACTTGAGCACTCTCACAATGCTACACAATGCTACAATGCACACAGTGCTGTGTGTGACAATCACAACCACAGACACAGATACAATGGTACGAAGATATAAGATCAGAATCACACAATTCAATCATTATCCTACGCTCAGACTGACAAACCACAACTCCTACCATAACGCAGTGATACAGTCACACACATACACTGACACACAGTCACTATTCCACTTCAAACAAATAGCCACAATCACACACAAGACACTCAGACTCTAATAATCGCGATGACATAACAGCTATTATACACATAATTGCCCACTATTGGCAAGGAACGACACACTGCAGTTCTTAATCTATCTCACGCAAACACACTTTCATTTCCCCCAGCCCCACCCAGGCACTGGGAAAAATTCTGGGATTCCCTTCCCTTTCTCTCTTCAGGACTTGGGTGTGTAGGGGGTGGGGAGGAGGTTTTTTGACGTGGGAAATCCACTCACCCTCACTAGCCTCACGGGCCCCACTTACCTATTCCCCCTTGGGGCAGTTGTATCAGGGAAGTGAGGATCAGGAAGAGGTCTGCCCAGAACCTGGACCTGCCCCATTCTCGGCTACCAGTCCCAGTCCTCATCCTCAATTCCAGCCGGCCCCGGCCCCCGGCTCAGCTGTATGCCGCTATCACCAGCTGAAGAACAGGGGGATCCTCCTTGCTACCAGCTGGGACAGGTGGGAGAGGTGGGGGGAGGGGATTCCTCTCAGTGGGGCTCCCACTTCAAACTTAAGGCAACTTCTACAGACTTCTGAGCAGAAACTTGCCGGAGCCCCCGCCCCCTCTGGTTCTGTCCCGTCCCCACCCCACCCCAGCTCCCGGGCCCAGCCTGGGCCGGGCTGGGCAGGGCGGGGCCGGGCGAGGCGGGACGGGGGCGTGCTCACTTGGAACTCTCCCTGGAGGAAAGCCGGAGTTGGGAAAATTTTGTCCAGAGACCTAATTGGCCTATTCTAGGGAGGCTGGAGCCGGGCACCGACACTCACTGAGGGCTTGGAGCTGGGGCAAGGTTATTCCAACTCAAATCTCTCCCTCCGTCCTTGAGAGTTTGAGGTAGGCAAACCTAGAGTAATTTGCGCCTTCTGACGCCCCATCCCAACCCAGGGCAAGTTTCAGCACATGTGTGTCTGGCTCTATTTCTCTGTACACGTGTGTGCTTGCGTGCGCACCCGCGCGTTTAAGACCCGTGCTCCGTTGCTCTTGAGTCTGGGGTTGGGGTGCCCCTGGGGCTGGTCATGCTCTGAACATAAGCCCATACGTAAGCTTCTCGGTGGAAGTACCAAAAGACCTGGCTGGAGGGAGGAGGGCCGGCACCCTGAAACAAGAGAGAGTCGGAGTGGGGAATGCCTGCTCCATTTCCAGGCAGAAGGGGCCCGGACACTGAGAGAAGGGTTAACCCCTTCTTTGCTGGCTCTCTCTTCAAAAAACAAAGTATTTTTGTGTGCAGGGGTGGGGACTGAGGGGGTGAGTCTGACCCGAAGTCGGAATGGTAGAGGATGGGGCTGATCCTGCTCACCACTACTCACCACCAATAATAATACTTAAGAGGCCTCTGGCGCAAGTCTTCTGATGGAGCGTCAAAAACATTTCCAGACTCAGTAAATCATGTTGTTGAGTCGCGACTCTATTAAGTTTTTTCTTGGCAAAGATAACTGGAGTGGTTTGCCACTCCAGTTCATTTTATAGATGAGGAAACTAAGGCAAACAGGGTCAAATGACTTGCCTAGGGTCACGTAACTAGTGGTTGAACTCGGGAAGATGAGTCCTCCGGACTTCAGCCACAGAATTCTATCCACTCGGCCACCTAGCTGCCCTCATACCGGGCCAGTAACTTCTTATATCTAACCTGAGTCCCTGTAAATCTTCCAACTCCTTTCTCTCCCTCTGTTTTTCTCTGTGTCTCTGGCTCTGTCAGTCTGTCTCCACGCCCCTCCCCCACTCTGCCTGATATCTGTACTTGAGCCTTTCTCAGCCCAAAGTCAGGCATCCCTCCTTCCAGTGGATTAGGGGCCCCAGAAATACGGTTTCTGCCTGACTCCCTGAGGTCTGTGAGGCAGAGAAAATGAGGATGGGAATGGTTCCCAAAGCTCTCAGTTCTTAGGATGGTAGCCTAATAAGACCATTAATAAGGCCATTCAGACAGAAAATGGACATTAGGGGTCATCTAGTCTTACCGCTTAATTTTAAAAACAGGAAAAACTGAGGCCCAGAGATGTTAAGAGATCTACTCAAGGTCACACTGATATCAAGAGTCCTTTCTACTCCACCACACCTCCAAGTACATTCCAATTGTCCCCCATTTTTTCCTTTAGATTCAAGGGCTCCCTGTGCTTAGTAGTTGGAGGAGGTGTGGTTAGTTACTCTCGTCCTTCCTGTCTTCTCTATCTCCCTACCTGTCCCCCTCCCTACACACTCTTAAGCCTTTGGTTCATTAGCCCCTGTGTTATCCTTGTTGCACAGGGATCATGTGATCTTGGAAGAAAGGAGGGGAGTTCAGGCATGACCAGACAAACAAGGATGATCACATGACTCAGAGAAGTCAGACATGGCAAGAGCTGAGGGCCCAGAAAGACACCCCAGGACTGTCCTGATCACCGGTTGCTCTTCAGGAATTGGTCTACATCTGGCTGTAAAGTTGGCCCAGGACCCTCAACAGAGATACCATGGTAAGCAGGGCAGAGGGATGGGGGTGGGTTTGGGACCCCTTCTACTGGAAGATGGAGCCCCCAGTTTTAGGGATAGGAGACCGAGCCAGACATGATAGCCCGTACACACATACAAATGTACACATAGAGGCAGACGTGCAGAAATACACAGACACACAGACATAGAAATACAATTCAATTTTTAGTGATACAGATGCAGACATGTTGACACAGACACAAAGATTCATCGGCACAGATGGACACATTGACAAAACCATTTACACAGACCCTCTGTCTTCCTTTGCCATTACTTCTCTCTGATCCATTTTGTCTACATTTTCCAAGGAAGTGAGGATTGAGGAAGGACGTGTCATGGGGATCTTCCTCACCCCAGGCTTGAAGAACCCCACCTCCACTCCTTACTGCATCTTCAGTTGTCTCCTTTTTCCTGCTTTCCCTCCCTCCTCACTCCTTCTAGGATTATGCCTCCAGGACTAAGCCTCTTACATAAGTATAACCTTGGACATAGTCCTTCATATGTCTTCGGAGGGAGGATCTGGGGAACCCTGGCAGCGCCCCCCCCTTCTAGGTAGCCCTCTCAATTACTCTCACTAGATCTGGTGATCCCACAGATGATCCCACAATCCCTGGATCCCCAGATCAACCTCACCCTCTTCCCCCCTATACACAAATCATTAGGGCCCAGAGGGATCAAGGGTTGGTGTGAGCAAAGGAGCTATTACTCAAGAGAAGTCTTTTGTTGAATGGGGAGAGGGGGAGGTTAGGACTTGAGGCCCCAGTTGGATTTCTGCCAAATTGGATAAAGCCTCCTCCCCTCTCCTCCAGCATCAAGTTACCCTTACACAGTAGACACACAAACTCTTAGGAGAGAGGCAGATTAATGTAGTGGATAGTGCACTGGGTTAAGAGTCAAAAAGATATGAGTTCAAATCCAGCCTCAGACATTTATTAACTGTGTGACTCTGGGCAAGTCATCCAACTTCTCTGTGCCTCAGTATCCTCCTCTGTAAAATAAGGGGGCCCTTCAAAGGTCCTTCCAGCTCTGTATCTATGAACTGGAAGAGATGTTAGACATCATCTTGTCTAATCCCCATGTGAAATGTAATTTCCAAAACAGACCCAGAAAGTGTTCATCTGGCCTTCACTTGAAGACCGTCAAAGACAGGGAGCTCACTACCTCCCAAGGCAGCCCATTCCTTTTTTGAATAGCTCTAACTATAGGGAAGATTTTCCTTATACTGAGCCAGAATCTGCCTTCATGCCATGTATGTACCTTCCATTCTCTGATCCTACTTCTGTATGTTTGTAGACATGCAGTACATATAAAGCATGTGTGGATCAATCATGTATTAAGCTCCAATTATATACACACAGATACATAGATATACACTTGTGTACACAAATGTACATGCACACTAAACCACAGGGGGCAAGGCAATTGTCCCATAGAAGGTGGGGGATATGAGGGGGCAGGAAACTGTGCTGCTCCCCTACTCTCAGTGCTGTGCTCTTGGCCAGTGTAGTGATCGCCACCATGCGGGACCTGGGGAAGAAGGAGAAACTGGAGGCTGCAGCTGGTGAGGCTCTGGGCCAGACATTGACTGTGGCACAGATGGATGTCTGCAGTGAGGACTCCATGTCTGCCTGTCTAAGCAACACTGAGGGAAGGTCTTTGGATGTGCTAGGTAAGACAAACCTTTTTCAGGCTGGCCTATCTAAGGAATCAGCCAGTCCATCTCCAGCCCAGGCAAAGGTAGAGTGAGGATAGGTGAGAGGAGTAGAGGACTCTTTCCTTCACCCTCTGTAGTGGAAAGATGGTTGGATATGGAGACCGAGCACTTGGCATATTCTGGCTATTACTCACTACCTGTGTGATCTGGGGCAAGCCATCTCCCCTCTTTTGGCCTCAGTTTCTCCAACTGTAAAATGAGGGTGTTAAACTAGATCAGGGGTTCTTTTTTTAAATTCTATTTTATTTTATTTTCAGTCCTGAAGTTTCTCCCTTCCACCTCACCTGCCCATTGGGAAAGCAAGAAAAACAAAACCCTTTATAAATATATGTAATCAAGCAAAACAAATTCCCACATTAACCATATCCAAAAAAAATATACTTCCCTCTGTACTCTGAGTCCATCACCTTTCCTTTTGGAGATAGATAGTATGTTTTGTCAAGAGTCCTCTGAAATTTTGGTTGATTCTATTGTGTTATAGATCAAGGGTTCTTAACTTGGGATCCAAGGACACCCCCACAGACTCCAGGGGGTCTGTGGATAGATTTCTGAGGGTTCAGGAACTTGGATCAGAAAAAAAAACATAATCCTATGTATTTTATGCATTTAGAAACATGATTCTGAAAGGGAGCTCCTGGCTTCACCAGACAACTGCTTAAGGGGCCATGATATGAAAAAAGGCCCTTCTAGCTCAAAACCATGCTATCCTACCATCTTCTTAGAGCCATAGACTAGGAGTCAAAAGGACCATGTTCTAGCCCCTACTCTGCCACTGACAAGTTGTGGGATCTTGGCAAGTAATTTTCCTTCCCTTGGCCTCAGTTTCCTCCCCTGTAAAATGAGAGTGTTGGCCTAGTTAATCTTGGCTCTTTCCTCTGTTCTTGTGACCCCTCTGCCTCCCTGACTGCTACCCCCAGGCAGCAGTTACACCTTCTCCAGGTCTGTAGTTAGTCCCTCCCAGGTCTCTTCTTTAGTTCCAAATTGGGATGGGGAGTATGGTAGGGGCTGGGGCTGGAGCTGGAGCTGTCCAGGGAGAGGGAGGGAGGGGCCAGGTTTCATCCTCAACCATCCTTAGTGTCACCCCTTCCTACTCCCTTCAGTAAACAATGCAGGTTTGGGAATTGTAGGGCCCCTGGAGGGCCTCAATATGGCAGACATCAGGAAGGTCTTTGAAACCAACTTCTTTGGGGCAGTCCAGCTGATCAAGGCTGTGCTGCCCAGCATGAAGCAGAGACGTAGAGGCCACATCGTGGTGGTCAGCAGTGTCATGGGATTGCAGGGTAAGACTCCCTTTCCCACCTCTGGGATCCTCTACTTTGGGTCCTGCTCCTAAGTAGGAAGATAGCCCCACTCAGATCCATCCATTCGATATCTCCCTTTACCCAAATCCCACCCGGGAGCCTTGCCTACCTAAAAGTCCCTAATTCTGAGGGAAGAAATTGAGGCCCACTTACATACTCCCAGGGCAGGGGCAGGATCAGGGTGTGGGCTTCCCTAGACACCCATGGAACCTGAATACACTCTCATCCTGCCATGCCTCCCTTTCCAGGTGTCGTATTCAATGATGTCTACTCAGCCTCCAAGTTTGCATTGGAGGGGTTCTGTGAGAGTTTGGCTGTGCAGCTTCTGCAGTTCAATATCTTGTGAGATGGGGATGACACTCAGGGTGGAACATTCTGGGGATCTGAACTCCAAGTGGGAGACCTGAGGGGAGAGAGGAGGATCTGTACCCTGAGGAGGGGAGGAGCTGGGCCCTGAAAGGGGCCAGTGGGGAAAGGAGTCCTGAGGGGACCGCTGGGCTATGAGGGGATAGGAAGGTCTGGACTCTGGGGGCAGGGGATTGTGGGAGAGAGAGGCCTACACTCTGAGAGGATGTCCTGAGGAAGGAGTGGGTGATGGATTCTGAGTGGGGAGAGGGCCTAGACTGTAAGGAAAGGAGTCTAGGGTGAGAAGGTTTTTGTGCATAGAGGGTGTCCTTGACTATAGTGTCCTCCTGGGGCCTCTAATTCACTGAATTGCTAACCCACAATGAAACTTTCCAAGATGAGTCCTGGGGGCAGGCAGTCATTGGAGAAAGGCTTTATGGGAGTCCAAAGAAGTCTTAGGCCTTCGTTCCTCCCCAGTGTGTCCTTAGTGGAACCAGGGCCAGTGAACACAGATTTTGAGGCCAAGTTAGTGGCCCAGGTCTCCAAGGCTGATTTTCCTCACACCGACCCTGACACCTTGAGCTACTTCCTCGATGTTTATCTCCCAGCATCCAAAGATATTTTCCAGACCCTGGGCCAGAGCCCTGAGGATGTTGCCCAGGTAGGGAGATGGAAATCTTCATCCCTCCCAACACTCTCTTCCTCCCCCATTTCACCAGTGAAGCTGTGGAGCCAGGCATCCCTTGGGATGGGGTTGGCCATACCTTCCACAACAACCTCTGACCCTAACAAGGCCCCTGACCTCCAGTCCCCTCCTTCTGTTTCCATGTCCCTCATTCTTGCCTCTTTGGAGGCTCAGGAGGTTTTTGCCTAAGAGTCAGGAACCTACTCTTTCCAGGCCATTGCCCAGGTGATTGGCTCAGCACAGCCATCCCTTCGCTATCAGACCAACGCCCTCTATACGCCTCTGACTGCCCTGAAGTATGCTGACCCTTCTGGAGACCTCTCCGTCCACACCTTCTACCGTCTACTCTTCCGCTGCCAACCCCTTTTCCGGTTCAGCCTTTGTTGTCTCCGCTGTCTCTCTGGGAACTGTCTCCGGCCCAGGGTCACACCCATGTGAGGGGGGCCTCACACACGTTGGGGGTTCAGAGCCATGTGAAGAGGACGATGTGTATGAAGAAGGTCATACACATGTGAAGAAGTCACATGTATTCGGGGATATGAGTGACCCACAGCCAGACCCCCTCTTCTCAGTCTTTTCAAGAGATGAACCTCGAAATCCTGAATTTATAGCCCCTTCCCTTGGTGGGTGCTTATTCCTGGGCTCTAGTCTTGGTAGTAGCCAGTTCTTTACTCTAGCCTTCCCCTCACCTACACACTTCACTATGAATTTAGTAACATTTTGCAAGTGAATTTGTATTTTATTTTATTGGTATTTTTAATTTAATATTTTATTTTTCCTTAATTACATGGAAGAACAATTTTTAACATTTGTTTTTTTAAATTTTTGAGTTCCAAGTTCCCTCCACCTTTCCCTTCCTCCCTCATTGAGAAGGCAAGCAATTTGATGTAGGTTATACATGTGCAGTCATGCAAAACACATTTCCATTTTAATCATGTTGTAAAAGAAGACAAAAAAAAGAAAAATAAAGTTTAAAAAAGGTATCCTTTGATCTGCATTCAGACTCCATCAGTTGTTTCTCTGAAGGTAGATAGCATTTTTCATCATGAGTCCTTCAGAATTGTCTTGGATCCCTGTATTGCTGAGAATAGCTAAATCATTCACAGTTGATCATCACACAATATTACTGTTGCTATGTACAATGTTCTCCTGGTTCTGCTCATTTCACTTTGTATCAGTTCATGGAAGTCCAGCTTTTTTTGAGAGTATTCTGCTTGTCATTTATATCATAATCCTATACCACAACTTGTTCAGCCATTCCCCAAATTGATGGGCATCCCCTCAATTTCCAATTCTTTGCTACAAATACTTGTGTACATATAGATCCTTTTCACTTTCATTTTTCATCTCTTTGGGATACAGACCTAGTAGTGATATTGCTGGGTTGAAGGGTATAAATGGTTTTATAGCCTGATTTTGTATTTTATTGCTTACACCAGCATCTACACACAATTAAGCACATGGTAATCCATATATGTGGGAGACAAGTTATTTATTCGGTTTATAGAATGTGTGTCTGCTTTTCTGTCACATCGAGTCATTCAATGAGAGGACTGAGAGTTTTTGACAGCTTTCAAAAATTGGAAGTCTGGCAGAAGACTGGAGTGAAGGTTTCAACCTTTGAATATTGTACATCCAAGCTTATTTCTGTGTTTCGATTTCAACACAGCAGGTGGAGAAAATCCTCAGATATGTAGTGGGAAAAGGCTTCAGGCACTTTACAACTTACCCAAACAGTTGTGCTTTTGCAGAATAAATGATCCAGGTACTTTTGTGGGAAGATTTCTTTTGAAGAACTTGTGTGAAAGGTCTAGCTCTTTTGAGGTCTTGTTCTTTTGATGCTAGATCTGGAAGTCTAACATTATCAGCTCTAAGGTAGAGGACGTGTCCTCTCCACAGCAAGAGCTGTCTTACGTAGGCATAAGAGTAGAGAGATAGACAGAGGGGCAGGAGTCCTCTTCTGAGTGTATTGGATCTACGCATATGCCACCAGAGCTGAGCTTGAGCTTCCTGGCCCCTGTCAGACCTGCAAACACATCACTGAATAGAGATTGTCTGCCTGCCTGGTTCTCTGCACAAGCAGTATCAGAGTGACCTGGGTTCTCCTTGGCGCTCAGCTTCTGAGTGCCTTAGGAACAGCCCAGATGTCATATCAGCTAGAGCAGAAAGTTTGAAGATTATCAGAGACAGTTCAAAAGTTTATCAAAATGTCTCAGCCCCCATCCTCTCAGGATCCTTATCTTCTTCCCAATTCAAGTGACCTGAAAGGGACTGTACCTCCCATCATAAAGTAAAACTCAATAAAAAAATATTTATTGGGTGGAATTAATAAAAAAAAATACAACTCTTGAATGACTGGCAACCCATTGCTTCTAGGTAGGCCTGTTATCCCAATTTTGTGAGTGGGGTTACTTCTACTAAGATCTAAGCTCTTAGCTTTGCCTTTCCCAGGAAACATAGGGTCCTAGAGGCTCCATGTGGAAGAAGGCTGTCAGGCAACCTTACTATCTAAGAGATAAAGAAAGGAAAACAGGAGTTTTGTCGTGTGCTGGATGGTGAGTCCCACCCCAGTGCCTACAAGGACAGTGCTTATTTCTTAGCCAATCATCAGGTGAAACCTGAGGTCTGATGGTCACCCTGAGGTCTCTCTAAAGTCTTCCACATGTTCCTTTGTTGCTCAGGAGCCCAGAAATTAACACTGTAGTCTCACTGCCCACTCATGTTGCATTTTCTGACATGTTTTCTCAGAAATTTTGCTAGTAAATTCTCACACACACACTCCTATACAGTGACTTCCCCTGCATCGGCCTTCACCTGGCACCCACCATCTCTAGCACCCCACTATGGGTCATGGAGCTGCACTGCCCAGCTCACCTGAAAGATTGCTTCACTCCACTGATCTCAGGTACAGTTTGTGGTATTTGTTGCAAAAATTCCTGGGGGTGGCTCTGTCTAGGAGTACAGGGAGACACAGTAGAGTCACAGAACCCAGTCTGTTTTGGTTCAGGTATGCAAGTAGGGGCTATAGTGGCTAGAGCTCTGGACTTGGAGTCACAAAAGACCTGAGTTTGAATCCTGCCTCACTAGTCATTTGACACGGAGAAAGTCACTTCATTTCTCTTGGCCTCAATTTACTCATCTATAAAATGGGGATAATTAATAGTCCCGACCTCCCAAGGTTTTTGTGAGAATTAAATGAAATAACACGGGAAATATTTTGCGAACATTACAGCACTATATAAATGCAAGCTATTATTGTTATTATTATTACACATCTTCAGCAGCCCCTGGGCCATGAGTCTCCCTGTCCAGCCCTTTCCTGGCCCTGGAAGAATCTATCTCTGTTTCTTGGTCTCCCAAATACATACCCTGACTGAGCTTTCTCTGTTCCTAACCACTCTCCCTCAATTAAGATTCAGCCTAATGTCCTCTTCTCTGATCCAAGTTTAACTTCCTCCTCCTCCCGTCTTCCCAGATGTTGTCTGCCTAGTGCCATCCCACCCTACCTCCAACCCTGGCCAAAGCAGATTCCATTCCCCCATGCTTTAATCCTTGGATGGTGGGAGTAAGCAAAGGCTCCCCACTTCTTTCCAAAAGCACATAAATCAGGGCACCTCACCCTCGTGGGTTCTTGATTGGGACTTCTCATAGGTGTGGGCTCAGGGTCAGGGCTGTCCTCTCCCTGAAAAAGCCTGACTTCCTGGGGTGAGGGAGCATCTCCAGGGGACAGAGTCAGAGATGGGTATACTGGTTACCATAACCATCAGGCAGAGTCAGAGCCAGGACCCCTGCTGAGGTGTCTGCTGAAGCTGACATCCGCCTTCCATGCCTGTGAGACCCTGACCAGATTCACTCTCACTGAATGTTGCAGAAATAAAGGAGTAACGTATGTGTCCTTTGGGTAGTTAGTCAACAATAGTAATAGCTAATAACTAGCATTTACCGTATTTCACAGCATAATTGCTGCCACTGCATAATCGTTGTACCCTGTTTTTTTCCCAGTCCAAAAATTGGTATCACATAATTGTCACATGGCATAATTCTATTCATCATGCTACTTAAAAGGTAAACAGAGCAGCAATGTATTCACCAATGGCATATGGATACGCATTTATCTCTCATGCACAAGCCTAGAATTCTCAATGCAGGTGCATTGTTAGTATATTTCCCAAAGTCACCTTGCATAGTTTGATTAGAGCGCTGCAGAGACCCGTAGGCACAAGGCGAGAGGGTGGGCAGGCGAAGCTGCCATGAGTAAGTGACATGATATGGTAAGACTTACATCTTCCTGTGTTAGCTAAACTGTACAATTTATCTGCCAGTGACACAATTCAGTAATAAATGATTTTTAAGTAATATCGGCACAGTTTTTAATGCTTCACATAATGGTTACACTCCACTATTTTGCAAAAAATTTTGGCATAAAATCTGCAATGATTTATGTGGTGAAATATGGTATATAGCACTGTGCCAGGCCCTGGGCTAAGTGCTTTACAATTATTACCTCATTTGATCCTCAAAACAATCCTGGGAGGTAGGTGCTATTATTATCCCCATTTTATAGATGAGCAAACTGGGACAAACAAGGTTTAAGCAAATTACCCAGGACACCACAGCTAGTAAGTGCCTGAGTCTGGATTTGAACTTAGGTTCTACTGACTCCAGGCCTAGTGATCTATCCATCACACCAGCTACCTGCCCAGAAGCCTGTTGCAATAGTTCAGATGATGAATCATAATAACCTATGAAAGGGTGATGTCTTTGTGAGCGTAGATAAAGTAACATACAAGAGATGTGAACGTACAAAATGGCAGATAGCAAATGCCAAAGGTTTAGTACTAGACTGGACCCATGGGATGAGTGAGGAAGGATGACGCTGAGGTTGGGAGCCTCAGGCCTGAGAGGATGGCAATGCCCTCAACAGCAGTAGGGACGTTGAGGAGAGAGGGAGGTTTGGGAGGAAAGCTAGTGAGTTCTGTTTTAGACATGATGAGTTTGAGATGCCTATGGGACGTTGTCAAAAAGCACTTGGTGATGTGGTTCTGGACCTCAGGAGGGCCGTATCTGATAATCGTCTGCATAGGGATGAGAGTTGAACCCATGGGAGCTGATGAGATCACCAAGTGAGATGGTATATACAGAGAAAAGAAGAGGGTCTGGGAGAGACCCTTGGGGAACACCCATGATTCGTATTACAGTGCATGTACACCCGGGAGGTGTCCCATGTGTGACAACTGGGGGCGGCGAAGAGTCGCAGCTCAAATTCCCATTCACACCGCGTCCTCAAGCTTGCAGGAAGAGTCCCATGAGACAATTTAGCATCTGAATTGGTCACCACACGGCACTAGACTGAAGGCAGCAGCCGAGTGGTCAGATCAGAGGGTCTGGGGATTGTGCGTGCTCTCAAAAGTCTGCTCCACTGCTCCACTGTGTGGCTCTGTGCGGAGTGACACTCCGTATGTGGTTCATTTCAGAAAGGAACCAATCTTAGCTGGAGAATTTGGACCGGCCCTCACCTTCCCAATATCCAACCACCCAGCTAGGCCTGGGAGCACCAGGGGAGTCTCAGGGGTAGGAAGGGTGAGCACAAGTGACCAGCAGACAGACACACTTTCATAGGGACTTTGTGATCTGTAGGACTTCTTCACCCCTATGTCCGAACCCTGGCTCTGGTGTTTGGAACTTGTGCAAAAGTTCCTTCCCCTTCTCAAGGCCTCAGTTTCCCCAACTGAAAAGTAAGGGACTTGAATATCCAAGGCTCTTTATAGATTCAAATCCTCTGATCCGAAAAATCTCTTGAATTTGTACTAAATAACTTAGCAATGAACCAGAAAGGCACTTGGGAAAGGGAAGTAAGGGGTAGAGCAAGGGTCCAGCAGAGAGCCTTGAACATCTTAGATGGTTCATCTATATTTGTTGAAGTGTGTTGACACATGTGGCCTTCTAGGTCTTTGGGTGCGGCCTTTTGACTGAATTCAAGTTTTACAGAACAAATCCTTTTATTCAGGATATTTGCTCTGTGAAGTTTGGTTTTAGTCAAAGGGCTGCACTTGGGGACTTAGAGGGCCACATGTGGCCTTGAAGCTGTAGGTTCCCCACCCCTGGCCTAGCTCATATTGTTGTCCAGTTGCGTCCAACTCTTTGTGGCCCCGTTTTGGGGTTTTCTTGGCAGAGACAGTGGAGTAGTTATCTATTTCCTTTTCATTTTACAGATGAGAAACGGAGGCAAACAGGGTGAAGTGACTTGCCCAGGGTCACCCAGCCGGTAAGCATCTGAGGCCAGATTTAAATTCACAGAGAGTCTTCCTGATTCCAAGCCCAGTGCGCTATCTACTGAGCCACCTAGAAATCACGTAATAAATAAGTTGAATTAGCCTATCTTTAAAGTCCTTTCTGGTTCTAAATCCTGATTTCCTTAGATGAAGTGTAGCATGCCCCCTGCTGGAGAGCCCCAATCATATCTGGGTCTCCCTGAGAATTGAGAAGTAACAGGATTGGAAGAAACAGAGAAGTACCATCCCCATTCCATCACAGCCTATGCCTGTGTCCCTACCCCCCCATCCACTTACCCTTCCACAAACACCTTTTATCTAGTTCCCCCGTATGCAGGCTCTTGGAGTGAGACGATGAGGAAAGGGATTTGGCTGAGATGTGTGCACTGTGCATCTGGTTGGTGAAGGAGAAGTATAGCTAAACTGCAGCTCAAATCCTATAGCTCAAAAAGGAGACAAGGCCTGGAGGATGAGGGCATCATCCTGCCAGGTTCTCCCAGGAGTGGGGCGGGGAGGGTGTGCAGACAGATGTTGCTACTAGCGGAGGGTATCAGAAATTATCCATTTCTCCTGCCAGAGAGGTGATGGACTCAGGGTGCAGAATGAGATGTATGTTTTCAGACATTTGTTTTCACGTGTTTTTCAGACACATATGTTTTCAGACATGGCCAATGTGGCAATTTGTTTAGCTTGACTACTCATTCTTTTTTTTTTTTTCCTTTTTGGTGAGGTAATCAGGGTTAAGTGACTTGTCGAGGCCAGATTTGAACTCAGGAAGATGAGTCTTCCTGAAGCCAAACCTGGCACTCTATCCACTGTGCCACCTAGCTGCCTCTTGACTACTCATTCTTACTGCAAGGATTTTTTTTCTTTTTTTTAAATTCCAGTTGTTAGCTATGGGGCAGCCATGTGACTCTGGGCAAGTCACTTCACCCTGTTTTCCTCCATTTCCTCATCTGTAAAATGAGCTGGAGAAGGAAGTGGTAAACCATTCTAGCATCTTTGCCAAGAAAACTCCAAAAAAGGGTCATGAAGACTTGGATACAACAAAAACGAATGAAAAATAACAGAGTTATCAGGGAGAAGGGTGTTGACAAAAATAGAGGGTTTTTCAAAAGAGCAGAAAGAAAAGAGGGTTATTGAAGCATTTTTTTAAAGTATAGAAGAGAACAGAGGGAAGGCCAAAAAGGAAACAAAGACAAGTAGGACAGTTTTGAAAGTTAATATTGAATTTATTTTATATTTAGAAGAAAAAGCAAGTAATACAAGAACTCACAGTTTCATGAACAAACCTCTTCTTTTCTACTCTGTATAAGGAAATGCACATTTTATTTGGTGTTTAAGTTTAGAATTTTAAAAAATAATTTAAAAAAAAGAGAAAAGAAAAACCATGAGTTCCAAAGATAGGGAGAGATGTGGTGATTAGTGGAGGCTTAAGGTAGAGTAGCTAAAAACTAAACAGAAATTGGTCTCTCAAGGTCTAAGAAGGTGGGGTTAGACAGTGCTGAGTTCATAGATTTACTGCCAGAAGGAATCCAACACTCTCATTTTACTAATGAAGAAACTGAGGCACAGGGAGGATCCTGCAGGGTCACACAGCTAGTATCTAAGAAAGGACAGAGGCAGATCTTTCTGACTCTAAAGCCAAGGCTCTCTTCACTCATTCTACTCAGCGGCCACAAGGTTCTCTGGAATTAGGGAAGGAGCAAGGCCTGTAATTTCCCAGGGATCAAGAGAGCTCAGAGAAAGTGGCAGAAAAGCAAAGGAAGACAGAGACAGGTTAAAAAAAAAAAACAGGGAGGGAGGGACACAGAGACAAAACTCATAAGGCTGTAAGAAAGGTCCTTCTGATAGGTCTGGGAGGTGGGATTGAAGGGGCTGTAGTCTATACCCTCTACATGCTTCCGCACCCCTAGAAAATCTGTACAGTTTGTTTGCAAATAGGTGGCAGGGTTGGGGAACCTTCGGCCTCGAGGCCATACATGGCGTTCTAGGTCCTCAGGTGTGGCCTTTTGACTGAGTCCAAGTTTTATAGAACAAATCCCTTTATTAAAGGGATTTGTTCTGTGAAGTTTGGATTCAGTCAAAGGGCCATATTTGAGGACCTAGAGGGCCACATGTGGCCTTGAGGATGAAGGTTCCCCATCTCTGGTAGGGCAACCATGACTGAACTGGTAGCCAGGAGGTACTTGGTTTTAACTCCCATCTCTTCCCCTTTCCACCTGTGAGACCACAGGCAAGTCGATTTCATCTCTCTTAGGGGCCTCAGGGGGTGGGTCATATGTTCTTTGAGGTCCCTTAAGTAACTTTAATTCCTACAATCCTCTCTCTGTATCCTAGTGGGAGAGACCTTCCCTCTGGGCCTCAGTTTTCCCACCTATAAAATGAGGCAGTTCACTAAATGATGTCTGAGGTCAACTCCAGCTCTTCATCCCGTGGTTCCTGGAAACTCCTTGTACTTTACACAGGACAGAGAAGGGACAGTAGGCAGCTAACAGTTAGAGTTGCCTGTGTTGGACATTGTACATTGGCCTCTGAGGTCTTGGCCACTAGACAGGCCTTTCCTCTTGGGTGGGGTGGGGGAAGGGAATCACGATCTAGACTTTTCCAGACCCAGGAAAATCATTTCAGGAACAAGAATCAGCTGATAGGGGAGGACCTGGGAACAGGGTTGCTACTGGGTCTGGGACTGGAGGAAGCAACCCACTATCCCATGGGGTTTATGGGAAGCCTTCTCAGTTCAGTTGGTAATTAACTTGATCTGCAGTTAAAGCCAAAAGAAATAACCAGCGAGCAGTGGCCCCAGCTCTACCGGTCTACTTCTTCCATCCTCACCTTGCCAGCCTCTGCCATGGAGGCCCCCAGGATCCTGGGCTTGTCACAACTGCTTCTCTTTCTAGGTCTCCCTCTTGCCCACTATGGCCCTCTGTGAGTAGGGGAGGGGACGAGAAGTGTCTCCTCATGTTCATTTCAGCGTGTGTCCCACATCTGTCTCTTTTTCTGTCAATGTGTTTCCAGGTGTCTTTGGAGGATTTCTCTTGTTGTGATTGGTACCCTCTCCATGTTGGTGTGTTCTCACCATTGTATTTCTTTCCCTCTGCATACCTCTCAGTGTTTCTTGTTCAGGTGTGGGTGGGATCCCACACCCTCTGAGGGCCCTTCCAGCTCCGAGGTTCTTTGACTTCCATTTGGGTTTTGTTGGAGGGCTTTCTTCTGTAGGTCTAGCTGTGGGGGTCTCCTTAGCATCTTTGAGTATAATCCCTTGTGTTTTTCCTCTGCACAACTCCGTGTGATTCTCTTGGCTTTTTCCGCTCTGTGTCCCTGAACATCCCTTTGGTATTCTCCCCTCAGCTTGCTGCCCTCTGTATATCTCCTGGTACAGGTACCTCCTGGTGGCCCCTCGAGTTCTATGGGTGGGGAACCCAGAGAACATCTTGCTGCAGGTGCATCAGGACCCTGAGCAGCCCCTGGTCGAGCCCCTTAAAGTGCTTCTCGCCGTTTGGGACTTTCCCCTAGAGAGGAAGATATTGTATGACAGGTCGCTCACACTCTCCCAAGACAACAACTATATGGCCTTGGTTCCCGTGACGGTACGTGTGTGTTGCAGTATGGTGTAGCTTGGCATGCCGTGTGCGGGGTTGAGTTTGGTAGAGACCCCAAGACAGCTCCTCCATCGCTCCAGTCAGCCCTGAAACATCAGGTCTCAGGATTAAAGGCGGTTTGGGTCAGACCCTGAGAGATACTTCCTAAACATGAGGTTCGAACCTAGAGCCCATGATTCTAGGAAGTCATGGAGTTCAGAGGCAAGGTACTTGACTATATGACCTCTGACTTTCCAGGGTCTAAAGACTCTGTCTCTTTCCTCTGACCAGAGAGAGGATCCTTAAAGCAAGTACTCAGTCTCCTCTGTCAGACGCTCTTTCCAGGGTCCATCCTTGGCTTCCACTCCTCTGAGAGCTCAGTAGAGGTGGGGTCTAGGTACAGGAGGTTCTCTTCTCCAGTCATTTAAACATCTTCCCCCCATGTGCAGAGCACCGTTCTGGGCACACAAGAAGCCGCAAAGCTTAAGACACAGCCCCTGTCCTCATGAAACTTACAATGCCACAGGGGGATAAGGCACAGAAGTGAACAACTATTGACAGTTTTTACATGGTTGGTGCATTGGAGAGGAGCACACAAAAGTCTCTGGAAGTCCCTGATGGGGATGTTACTACTGACCAGGGAGGGGAGCAGAGAATCAGGAATCCTTAGAGTTATTATGTAGGGTAGGAATGCAAGGTGAAATAATAATAATAGCTAAAATTTAGGTAGAGTTTACTATGTGCTAGGTACTGTGCTAAATATTTGACAAATATTATCTCATTGGATCCTCACAACTCTGAGAGGTAGGTGCTATTATCCCCACTTTACAGGTGAGGAAAGTGAGGCAAACAGTGGTTAAATGATTTGCCCAGGGTCCCACAACTAGTAAGTATCTAAGGCTGGATTTGAACTCAGGTCTTTCTGACTCTGGGCCTGGTGCTCTGTCCAATGTGCTGCCTTGGAGAGGGAGGGCACTCCAGGCATAGGAAAAAGCCTGAGCAAAAGTGCAGAAGGGAGAAAGCCCAAAGTACATGGGGTGGGGGTAGAAAGAAGGCTTTTTTGGCTGGAATGTGCTTGGAATGCTTGGAGAAGAGTAATAGGAGCCATGGTTGGAAAGATAGTCACAGTGGCTAGGACTGAGATGCCGGGCAGAAGAGCTGGAACTTTATTTGAGAGACAGTAGGGAGATTTTAAAGTACGGGAATGTCATGATTACCTTCATGCATAAGAATCATGGATATCATTTATAAAAAAATATAAAATACTCAAATTAACAAAACAAGGAATATATACCCTAAAAAGGTTGAAATCTGAAAGAGAAATTAGAAAGACCCCCATAGAGTTGTCCTCTGCAAGATATGGACCGAATCACAGCATCACAGATTTAGAATCAGAAGGGACCGCAAAGGAACCTTAAAGAAAGGTCAACTTTGAATCTCTTCATTTAAAAAAAAATCCAATTAATATTTGTTTCTCTATCACTTACATTTCCTAATGTGCTGGGCTGACAAACTTGGAAAAGCAGAAGCATTTGTGAGCAATGTTAACAGAAGTGAGATGGGCAGGACTTGGTAACACTAATTGTTGAAAGGAAGGGAGGGAAGAAGCCAAAGATAAGGCTAAAGTTAAGAAAACAGAATGTTGGGCAAATAGTGGTGCCCCAGACAGAACCAGGGAAGTCAGTGAAAGGAGCAGGTTTGAAAGAAAGGTACTGAGTTTGAGATGCGTTCTTCCCAGATCCCTGAAAGCGTAGTCTTCCCTCCACGTCCAGGGAAGCAGTACGTGATCCTCAAAGCCTCCTCAGAGACCTTCTCTCTGACAAAAACAATCCTGGTTGCTCCACATGCTGGCTATATCTTCATCCAGACGGATAAGACCATCTATACCCCTAAGCAGTCAGGTGGGTCCCAATGCGGGGGAGGTTCAGATGAAGGAAGGCTGACTTCTAGCTTCTCAAATTGCTCAGAAGACTCCCCTTTCTCTCTCCATCACCCAGAATCTCTGGGCTCCAGCTCCTTCTAACTACTTAAGGTCTCTGGGCTCTGGTTCTCAATCAATGCCCGAGGTCTTTGAGCTCTGGCTTTCCTCACTGCCTAGGGTCTCCGGGCTCTGACTTCTGCTACTGCCAAGATATCTAGGCTCTGGCCAACAACATATCTTTGTTTCTCTCCCAGTTCAATACAGGGTATTCACAGTGAACCATGGATTAGACCCAGTGATGAGGCCATTCACCATTGACATTAAGGTTGTTTCTTTTGGGTCATGAGAACTGGGTCCTGGGTATCCCAACAGAGCTAGGGAGACTCTGGGAAGTGTGTCCTAGGAGTGGGGTAGGGCTTGAGTATCCCTTGACTCTTCTCTTTCCCCCCTAGAACCCCCAAGGCATCTCTGTCATCAGCCAGAACTTAGGGGATGAAAGTGGTTTCTTTGTGGGTTCCTTCCATCTCCCTGAATTGGTCAGGTATCCCCTTCTCTGCTTCCTGCCCCAAAGGCTCCTCCCTCTGATACCACCCCATCCTCCCCTTCTTTCCACTTCTTGTCACCCCCCCTTCCTCTCCCTTCTCCCATCTGCACCAGGCCTTTCCAAAATGGGATGGGGGTGGGGAGGGAAGGGAAGTCTGGAGGAGGGGTTGACTAGCCACTGGGTCTAGACTGTGACATTACTACTTCAGTTTTGGAACTTGGACCATTGAGGCCCGATACCAGAGTGGGCCCCAGGAGCCATACAGTGTGTCCTTTGATGTGAAGGAATATGGTAAGCAACCCTGGGCCATGCTACCAACATTGGACATGTGGTCTAGAGCTCTGGAGTTCTAGCTGTTGGACTCAGGGAACTTGGGTTCTGGGTTTCTGGGCTGGGGTTCTGGACTACAGGCTCCAGGTTCTCCTTTCCTTTGAAACTCACTTCCTCATCAACTCCAAACTTTCTCCCTGTTTAGTGCTCCCATCCTTTGAGGTCCAGTTGGTCCCCAATAAGACCTTCTTCTACCTTAATGACACGACCCTGGGTATTGATATCAAGGCCAGGTGAGCATTGTCACCCCTCATTCAGACAGAGGCAGAGAGATGCCTTACATGTGTAAGGGAAGTATAAAGGGTCAGAAAGGGGGATAGAGAGGCACTTGCGGCTGGAACCAAGTATTCCCCAGCCTCTTCTGCAAAGAAAACTGGGAGAAATCTCAAGCATTTGGCTTCTGAGCCATTTGGGAAAAGTGAGAAGCAGAATATCCTCTCCACACACACTTCCTAAAGCTGACCCAGCAGAGCCATTGGACTAGAAAAGTGAGAATTGAGGTCTTGGCAGCTCTGTGAGGTTGTGTGAGGGTACTTCAGAACCAGTGAGAACCTTCTCTGGGCCTCTAGGTATGTGTTCAAGAAGCCTGTCGATGGACATGCTCTGGCCATTTTTGGGATAAAACTGGACTCTGACTGGATCACCATCCAGGACTCACTGCAGAGAGTGAAGGTCGGCATTGACCCCCCTCTAATCTCCACCCTCTTCTGAGGCTCCCCTTTCTCTCCTCAACTTTTCTTCTCCTCTTCTTCCTGAGTCAGATCTCTGCAGGCGAGGGACGTGCTTCCCTCAGCAAGGCCACCCTGACTTCCCAGTTCCAGGACCTCAACAATCTCCTGGGGGTTTCAATTTTTGTCAATGTCACTGTATTCTCCTCTGGTGGGTGAGCCTCTTACCTTTCTCCTCTAGTACACCCCTTCTGGTTCTCCTAAAATGTGTCAGAAGAAGGAGGGGGAAGGGGAGGAGGAGGGAACTGGGCTGGGCATAACAAATAATTCAGTCTTCTAGAACCTCAGTTTCCTCATCTGTAAAATGGGTCAAAAGGCTTAACGTTCTCTCCACAAGTGAGGAGGGAGGATCAGACCTTCCCTAGTTCCCTGGGGCCTGCTTTCCTCAAAGGCTTCTTTGTTTGCACAGCGGGTGAAATGGTCCAGGCTGAAACCTCAGGGGTGAAGATAGTCCGGAGTCCCTATAACATCAGATTCACCAGAACACCCCATTATTTCAAGCCTGGAATGCCCTTCCACTTTGGGGTGAGGAGTCACCAAAGGCTTCAGACTTCCTTCAAGATAGAAAGCCCATCCTATCTTAGGACACAGACTTACCCTCCCTGCCCCACCCAGGACAAAGACCCTTCCCCCACATTCTAGACCCTTCCCCCCACTCCTAGGACAGAAACCCCACTCTTTCTTAGGACAGTCACTTCCTCCCAGAACAGAGACTCTTCACCAAGACAAAGACTTTCCCTCCTCAAGATAGAGAGTCTCCCCACTTCCCAGACAGAAATTGCCCATATGCTACCTGATATTAGGGTTAAGTAGCCCAGTATTTGCTCCTTCTCCTCCCAACCCAACTTACAGGTCTTGGTCACCAACCCTGATGGCTCTCCAGCATCTGGGGTCCACGTGCAATGTGAAGGCAACAGGGTCCAGACTTCAGCCGAGGGGCTTGGCTCCTTGACCCTTAACACAGCAATCGACTTGGAGAGCTTATCCATTCGAGTAAGGACACAGAGGCCAGTGCCCGGGTGTTGAAGGCGGAGTAGAGAAAATAAGGAAACCCAGAAGGGACACAGAACCCGGGAAGGGGCTGCTACTGGAAGGGAGGGCTTTATTCCCACACCTAATTCCTAGCTCTCCCCAGGTGGAAACAAAGGATGAGCAGCTGCAGCCCCAGGAGCAGGCCTCTGCTGAGCTAACAATCCAGGCCTATAAGACTCAGGAAAACTCTGGAAACTTCCTACACATTGGAGTCAATATCCTGGAAACTGAGGTTGGAAAAAGCATTCATCTGAGCCTCAATACAAGGCACAAGAATGAGGACACCAGAAAGAGAATCACGCACTTCACCATCCTGGTGAGGAGGGGTGCGAAGGCAAAGTCTTCAGGCAGCCGGGGGGGTGGGGGGCCTGCCTTCCTCGCCTTCCCTGATGTCCACTGTAGGAAGTACTCAATCATTGCAGGGGACCTTAGAGAGGGATTTGGTAACTGGATCTGGCACCCTCTTCCAGAGTTACTCCTCAGTGTGCTTCTCCCTCCTTTTCTCCCCTCTGCTAAGTTGTTGAGCAAAGGACAGATCATACAGGTTGAAAGCAAAAGAGCAGAGGGCATCGTGACATCTTCCATGATCCGTGTGATCCCAGAGCTACTGCCGTCCTTCCGTATCCTGGCTTATTACATCCTCCCAGGCTCTAGTCCAGAGCTCGTGGCTGACTCCATCTGGATTGACGTGAAGGACACATGCATGGGCACTGTGAGTCATAGCCTGCCTTCCCTCCTCCACAGCTATCCCCCCAACCCCACTGGCTTCTGTTCTTCCCAGAATGCTAAGTGTCTAGGCCATGAAAGTCCTGAGGTCAGAGATAGAAAAGGTCAGTCTGGGTTGGAGTGATCAAGGAAGACTTCTGGGAGGAGATGAGACTGGAGCTAGACCTTGAAAGACAAGAAACATTTAGAGGAATCAGAGGGACATAGAACAGTGGGATAGGTTACAGTGGGCAGGGTCTCAGGGGGCTGGTGAAGGCGCTGGAAAGATTAGGGAGGAGAGAAACAGATAGGCCCCACACAGACCCAGGGAAGCAGCTGGGGAGCCACATTCCTAACCCTCTATGCCTCAACGTCTCCTTACCTACCCATGTCCATCCAGCTTCAGATAGGCCTGAAGGATTCAGCTAATGAAGAAGTATTTGAACCTGGTGACAAAGTGGACCTACAGCTGACTGGTGACCCTCAAGCCCTGGTGGGTCTGGTTGCTGTGGACAAGGCCGTGCATGCCCTAAATAGCAAGCATAAGCTTTCCCAGAAGAAGGTGAGGTCATGCAAGGAAGTCTAGATTCCATTGCTACTGGACTTGGCCCGGGACAACCCAGCTTAAGGCCGTCCTTGGTGGCCCACAGGTCTGGGATGTGGTGGAGACTCAAGACATTGGCTGCACTGCTGGAAGTGGAAGAGACAACCTAGGCGTTTTTACAGATGCTGGTGTGGACCTCACGACCAATGTTGGCATGAGCACAGAGGCTAGTGAAGGTAGGTGAGAGAAACCGAAGGGAGCAATCAGAGGATGCCAAGGAGGGTTGGCGAAAGGGGCCCTCCAGTCATGGGACACAGTGTAAAGAGCACTGGATTTAGAAACAGAGAATCTGGATTCAAATCTTGGATCTACTTCTATGACCTTCAGCAAGTCCCTTTCTCCAATCTGGGCCTCAGTTTCCTCAGCTATAAAATAACAGGATTATGCTAGATGGTTGCTAAAATTCTTCTGGTTCAAGGTCCTATGGTTAGGAAGGTGGCTGTGAAGGAGGCCACATAGAGGGAGCCAGGAGAAGGAGCTAGAAAGGGAGTTTTATCGCCAAAAGGGTCTTTGGCCAGAATGAGAGTGGGGAGGTAGGTTAGGGGCAAAGGGAAAACCTGACCTCCCATCCCTAGCCAGTGAGCTGCACTCAGTCTCGGGGATAGGAGGTCCAGATTGAAATGACTGGATGTCCTGGTGCACGATTCAGAGGACCTTCCTCCCCCTCTAGACTGGCGATGCTCTCAGAGCTCCTCTTCCTCCTCACGCAAACGCAGGTCCCTGAAGATTCTGGAAAAGAAGAGACAAAAAGGTCAGAATCAGACCTTTTGTGTAGCTGCTTCTTGAACCCATGAATCCCAAATCTTGGTGCCCCCAAAGTACTGAACCTCTAACTTCCAAACCCTGAACCTTCAAACCTTCAAGGACTATTTGGGGAAGGGTGAAGGTGAAGACCGGGGAAGGGAAAAGAGGAGCTTCTATGTTCTTGGCCCATATGGGCTTAAGACCCTCAACTCACTTCCCTCCTTGTGCAGTGAATGAATTCAGGATCGAGCTGGAGAGACGCTGCTGTGAGGCTGGGTTTCGAGAGGGGCCCGTCGGACTCTCTTGTGAGGACCGGGTCCCATGGGTGCGCCATGGCCCCGCTTGTAAGGCCGCCTTTTTACAATGCTGCCATCATGGAGCAAAGCTGGACCAGGAGGCCCAAGCAGAGAGGCTGCTGCTGGGGACTGGTAAGGAGGGAACCAAAGGGGAGGAAGTAGGGAGGAGGTAAGCCAGGGCTCAGGCCAAGGTCTGACAGGGGCACCCCACGCATATATCCCACAGCTGACGAAGATGATGACCCAGACATGTGGTTCTCAGAAGACTTGCCAGTGCGTACAGCCTTCCCTGAGAGCTGGCTCTGGAAAAAGGTCCCCATGCCCAATGGCCCTGCCCGGGGCTCCAGGTAAGACCAAGGCTCCCCAAGGTCCCTTCCCCCAATGTCTTAGGACCAAAAATGAAGCCAAAATAACAACTATTAACACAAAACAGTGACTGTGCCTGAAAGACAAGGACAACGACCTTGTTCCCCAGGAAAATGATCCGAGGATAGCGACTGAAATACAAGGGTAAAGACTACAAGATTTCATTATGGGAAGGTGACCATAACCCTAGGATAGGGACTGATGTCAGACCTCTGACCTCTTACCAAAGACAGTAACTAGGATCGTTGAACAATTGACTGGCCTTGGGACAGTGACTGTGGCTCTAATGGAGTTGTCCCCACCCCCACCCCATCCCCTAGTGTCGCAGCTCTGACCATCCCCGTGACCCTGCCTGATTCCGTCACCACTTGGCAAATCATGGCCGTGAGCCTCCGGAAGGGCAAAGGTGAGTCCTCTCTGCCCCACGTCCTAAGGTCTCAGTGATTGTCCAGCCCCAGGATATGCGGGGCCCCAGTCCTGGGCACGTCCACAATGCAAGACTGTTTCATGGTTCCAACAATCCCAAATCCAACCCCTCCACTTTATAAACATCTGCCCTTTCACTATCTGTCCTTGTGTCAGGTGTCTGCATCTCAGAACCCCTAGAGATGATAGTCAGGAAGATTTTTTTTGTGGACCTGAAGCTGCCCTTCTCTGTGGTCAGGAACGAGCAGGTCCAAATCCAAGCCGTGCTGTACAACTACATCAACAAGAAAAAAACAGCCCGGGTGAGCTGTCAGTGGGAGCTTTGAGCGAGTCAAGAGCAAGCTCTGAATGAACCATGAGCCAGCTTTAGGGAGCTATGAGCCATGGGAGGCGGGGTGCATATGTTTGAGTGGGCCACTAAGGAGCCTTGTGTAATCTGTGAGCGGTGACTAGGCCATGGGCTAGCTGTGATATTGTTGTGACCTCCCTTTAAAATAGGCATGCATTCTCATGCATCGATCATCAATCAGCCAAATCCCATGGCATGTGCTTGGCCTGATCCCCAAAGTGCAGAGGGATGCTGAGAAAGCACCTGGCTCTCTGGGTTCATGAGAGACAACTAATAACCACGGCGGGGTAGAAAACTAGGTGACACAGTGGATCGGCAGTTTTCTATGCCAATAACATCACAGCTAGGTTGCTCATTGGGTAGAGTGTTAGGCCTGGAGTCAGCAAGACCTGAGTTCAAAATACAAACAAACTACACACTCCTCTCTTTATCATTGAAGCCTCTTGATAATCTGGCCTCAACCTACCTTTCTAGGCTTATTCCACATTACTCCCTTCTATGGACTCTGGTCCAGCTAAACTGTCCCATACACGACAGACACTCCACCCATCTCCTCTCTCCTTTCCACTTGGAGCTGCCCTCCAAGTCTGGAATGCACTCCTTTCTCACCTCTGCCTCTTAGAATCCCTAACTTCTTTCAAGGTTTAATTCAACTGCCATCTCCTACACAAATCATTTCTTGATCCTCCTGGCTGCCAGTGCCTCCCTCTCTCTGTCCCCCCCCCCCCACAAATCTCATCCCTTCATTTCTACTTCATTGATATTTTGTATATATTTACACATGTAACTGTTGTCTCCTTTGATAGAATGTAAGCTCCTTAAGGGCAGGGACTGTTTCGTTTCTGTCTTTGTAACTCCAGCTCCTAACAGTGCCCAAGCACCTAATAAATGCTTGTTGATGAATTGATTAATCTGTAAAATAAGTGTGTTGAATCTTCAGAAGAGCCTTCCAGCTCTAATATTCTATGAACCTGCGACCTTTAATGTGGGCTGATATGGGGCCAGGTTCCAGGTTCTCCCTCATTCTCCTGAGGAGGGAATGGAGCTATTAGGTGGCTCTTGTGAATAAGCACCCTGCTTGTGGTGATAGTCTCTGTCCTGATTCCCTTCCAACCCAGGTTCGTGTAGAGTTTCCCTACAAGAAGGCTCTGTGTAGCAAGTCCAGCAAGACCCAATCCTTCCTCCAGAGAGTCTCCGTGCCTCCAGACTCCTCGAGGGTGGTGTCATTCACTGTGCTGCCTGTGGAGCCAGGCAACATTGATGTGGAAGTCCATGTTGAGGGGTCTGGTTTCCAGGACCAAGTGAAGAAGACGCTCTTTGTGCGGGTAACTAAATCCCTCAAGGGTGAGACCAGATAGGAAGATGGGGGTTGGGAAGATGCAGAGGTATTCCCCCCACCCCCACCCCGTCCGCCCCAGGCCGTGTTGCTGCTGGCCTCTCAGATCACTCCAGATGCTGGCTCAACTTTCCCAAAGTTCCTTCTTGCTTGGGGCACTTTGATAACACTCATAGGGAGGTTTTACAGCTGACCTTTGGCCCTCACAAGGTATGCACCCTCAAAATAACTTCTATTTTCCCATGCAGAGCACTTTGCTTACAATGCCCCCAGCAGTAGAGTAAAGAAAATAATGTCCATTTTACAGATCACCTCCTGTATAAGTAGGAGAGCCAGGACTTGATCTCCCAAGGCTGGTGCCCATGTAGGACAGAAAACACCTAATGGAAGCAGAGAGAGTAGATGTCACCAGACACTTGAGTTGAGTCTGTGCTTTTGATGGACACAGTTTTCCTGGCAGGAAAGATTGGAGCAGAAATTGTCAAGCTAAGTTGGTTCATACTGAGGAAGCAAAGAAGTTATCAAAATAGATAAGCCTCTGTCCTGTAATTAACTGAAACAATGGTTATTGATTGGAATATGCATCCCAGGCCAGTTCTATTCTGGGTGCTGCCAGAAAAACAATGACAAAAAGGATGTCGTCCTTGCCTCCCTCCTGGGTCTGACTACAATGGGGAGCCAGGATGCATATACCCACGAAGATACCCAAGGGTCATTGTGGGCACAAGGGCCAGCTTACCAGACTCTAGTGGGGGTATCTCGGCCAGTGCTGAGGGGATGATAGGGGAACGGGGTTGGAGCCCCATGGCTGCCGTGGGCAGAACAGGCCTTGCCAGGGGAGGTGAGCCCTGTGCCCGACATCCAGGAAGGGGAGGGGACTCAAGGAAGTTGAGCCACAGCAAAGTACTCTTGTTTTCTGTGTTCATTATTATTAAAAACCCCTTTCACTTCACATTTCAAGGAGTACTTTTAACTTTTCAAATGATAAAAATTTTCCCCACAAGGTATGGTACAATGGAGAAATCATTAGGCTTGGAGCTGAAAGGCCTTCTCTGAAGAGCCAGCTGCACTGCTCTTTAACTGTGTGGTCTTGGGTAAAGCATAGCATCATAGGGGTCATTGCTAGTGGTCCGGACCTATGTCTTGCCACTGGACTCCCATGACTCCGGAGGAGAGAGTAAGGCTGCTGACTTTGTCTAGTTCTTCCTCCCTCAAATCCAATTCACTTGCAAGTCAAGACATCGCCGTCTTGATGTCATTGATCCTCTTCGAGAACCAATCAAAGGATTGACAGTGACAGGATCACAGTTTTCCAGCTTGGAAGGAATCTCGGAGCACATCGAGGCCAGTTCCACATTTTACAGATAGGAGGGAATGTGGAGCAGGCAAGAAAATGCTGGACAAGAATCAGGAAGACCTGAGTTTCAGTTCTACCTCAGAACCTATTAGCTGGTTGTGTGTCCCTGGGCAAGTCACTTATCATTTCTTAGTCTCAGTTCCCTTATCTGTAATATGAAGATTATAATAGCACCTCCCTCTCAGGATTGTTATGAGGACCAAATGAGATAATATATGGAATGAGCACAATATAAATATTATTATCATTAACTTTGTCATTAGGAAAATGAGGCCAAAAGGTGTTAAATGACTTGCTCGAGGTCACATAGGTAATAAATGGCAGAACTGAGGATTTGAACTCAGGTCATCTGATTCCATACCCAACAAATATCCCACTGTACCATGTTAGCTTCCTTTACCATTCTGGTTTTCCCTTCCCCCAATTGTCAAATGGGTGGGGGGTTGGACTAAATGATCTTTAAGTTCCCTTTACATTCTAGGATTCTTTTGATTACAGGCAGAAGGACAGATAGAGAGAGTCTCTTACAGCCTACTGCTGGATCCTAAAGGTTTGTGAGAACACTGGCCTGGGACAGGTGGGAAAGCTCCAGGGATCCACAGGTGCAGGTGTGGGGGTATACCTGGAGGTCTGAAGGCCACTCGGTTGGAGCACTGGGGATGGAACTGGAGGCCTTGTTCTTGAGATAATCTAGCCAGCCCACTAGGCTATGCTTAGCTCCAATTTGCCTCTGTGGCAGTCTGATCCTCCAAGAACTCTGATCAGCTCATCTTGAAGGGCTCCTGGAACTAAGAAACCATGGGAAATTCATTTCTGCCCAGGTCTCACCCAGGAGGAAAGTGTGCAGAGAAGGGTCTTTGAGAACATGGTGCCTGGCACAGAAGCAGAAGTGTTTGTCAGTGTACAAGGTAATGAGAGCAAGACCATCCCGGGAGAAGTGGGGCAGCTGGGCCGCAGGTGGGAGCTCACCTTTCCTCAGCCTGAGGGGGATGCGGCATACATAGACTACTCTGGTCATGACGGTGCCTCACCCTTCTTTCTTTCAAGGAGACATTCTTGGTGAGCCCATCCTTGGAGCTCTAACACCTTCTGAGTTACACAAGTTGCTGAAAGTGCCAACTGGCTGCCCCGAGCAGACCCTGAGCTCTTTGGCCCCTCTGGTCATCCTAACCCAATACTTGGATGCCACGGGGCAGTGGGGACAAGTTGGGGTGGAGCGGAGAAACCAGGTGGTGGATAACATTGTGACTGGTAAGTGTATGTGTGAAGGGGAGGAGGCTGTTAGCTCCTCCCAGCCTGGGTATGTGTTTTCCCTGGCCATTCCCCATTCTAACCCATAGACGTCAACTCTAAAGTCCCCAAGTTATATCAGAATCCCTGCCTTGCACAAGTACCCCCAGAGCATGACATTTCTTCACTTACAACTGATGGTCCTCCTCCATCTGCTCCCAGACACTGACCATTTCCCTAGGTTAAACCTGGACATTCACACACAACCACTCCTGCCCACGCACACATACACATAGAATTGTCACTTGAGTGATTTTTTTCTCAGTTGACAAACATTAAAGTGCCTGCTAAGGGACTGTCACTGTGCTAATTGCTAAGGATACCAAGAAAGATTAACAAAAAAAAAAAAAAAAAGCCAAGGCCTTACCCTCAAGGAGCTTATATTGTGTTGGGTTTTTTCCCAATTACATGGAAAGATAGTTTTCAACATTCATTTTTATAAGATTTTGAATTCCAAATTTTTCTCCCTTCTTCCGTCCCTCCCTCTTCCCTCCCCAAGATGGCAAGCAATCTGATAGAGGTTATACATATGCAATCATATTTCCACATTAGTCATGTTGTCAAAGAAGAGACAGAACAAAAGGGGAAAACCATGAAAAAAAAGTGAAAATAGTACGCTCTGATCTGCATTCAGGCTTCATAGCTCTTTCTCTGGATGTGGATAGCATTTTCCGTCGTGAGTCTTCAGGACTTGTCTTGGATCGTTGTATTGCTGAGAAGAGCTAAGTCTATCATAGTTGATCATCGTACAATGTTGCTGTTACTGTGTACAATGTTCTCCTGGTTCTAGCTTATATTCTAATGGGGGAGACAACAGATAAAAAAAAATGTACATGTAAGATATATACAGTGTAAATGGAACACTAACTCCCAATCACCAATTATATATCAATGTCCATTCTTTCCAAGTTACACCCAGACACTGAAACTCCTCTAGATATACCTTGTAATGCCCCTTCCCCTGTGTGCGACACCTTGCTACTTAGTCCTGCCAGGATGGAATATGCCCCAAATTACACCACACAGTGGCAACTCCCCCAAGTTACATTCAGACACTACTGACTTCTTCCCCACATTTCCTTTGGGTGCTGGGAATCTCTGAGATTCACTTAAACACTGATGCTCTCCTCAGTTACACTTAACCACTGACACGGTTCCTCCATGTTAAACCAAGATGCAGGAACTGAAGCTCCATCCCTTGTCACGCTCAGTTATACACAGAGACGTTGACTCTCCCAACTTTGTCACACTTGGACACTGATATCCCCTGAAGTTTCACTGGGATCCAGGACCTGAGGCTGACCCTTCACCATCTTCCTACCAGGTTATGCCCGAATGTTGGCTCACCGGAATTCAAATGGTACCTACCACATTCACCGTGAAAGCCCTGGGAGCACATGGTGAGGAAGCTGCTGTCACTGCCCCCAGGCCAATGTTCTCCCCCAATCATTTCACACCCCACTCCATTCTTGAAGTATAGCAATGTCCCTGTTGGTGTGTCTACCCTGCTGGGTCCTAGAATTGCCCCCATTGCTGAGCCAGGCCATCTAACCACACAATGTGGTCAGGGAACCAGCAGGGCACATTTCTCTGGGGGTAATACAGGAATCCCCTTCTTTTACTCCAACATGTGTAGATATGCCTCCTTTAAAAACCTGATGTATTATAGGTGAGATCAACACCAGAAGACCCAGAGGCATACCCCCTCTAGTGTCTGTGGATGCTGCTACCCCCACACTAGCATAAGAGTCTGGGAGTCAGGAGATATGGGTTTTACTGCAAACTCTGTTAACTCATTGTATGAGGCCTCAGTTTCCCCATCTGTAAAATGAGGACAATAATACCTTCCCTGGAAAACTCAGCGGGGATTAAATATGACAGTTAGAAAAATATATTACATCTTGCTGCAGTCCACTCACCTTTGGGGGCGGGAGAGGAGGAGTAGACCCAGACCCTGACCTCAGAGGCCAGACAAGGGGAAGACAGAGAGATAAAGCATTTAGTAAGTATTTTCTAAATGATAAGCATTGTGCTATGTGCTGAGTATAGGTATTTTTTTTTGGCTAGGCAATGGGGTTAAGTGACTTGCCCAGGGTCACACAGTTGGTAAGTGTTATGTGTCTGAGGCCAGATTTGAACTCAGGACCTTCTGACTCTAGGACTGTGCTCTATCCACTGCACCACCTCGCTGCCCCTATGTGCTGAGTATATAAATAGAAGCAAGTAAGATAGTTCCTGTCCTCAAAGAGTTTATATCCTAGTGGGGGAAGACGATACATAAAGCAATATGGGAAGGATACCTTCACATGCAGCAGTTAAGAAGGAGGTAGAAGGGCAGCGAGGTGGCACAGTGGAGGGGAAGCTAGGTGGCGAAGTGGATAGCGCACCAGCCCTGAAGTCAGGAGGACCTGAGTTCAAATCCGGCCTCAGACCGAACACTTGACACTTACTAGCTGTGTGACCCTGGTCAAGTCACTTAACCCAATTGCCTAAAAAAAATTTTTTTAAATTTTAAAAAAAGAAGAAGGAGGTAGAATGGAGATGAGGGGGAGAGGAATCATGGTGGTCTTGGGGAGGGAGTCCCCAGTGAAGAAAGAAAGGTTGCAGATAGAGGTCCTCCCCTCAGGGATCTCTAAGTCTGGCTGCCAAGGCTCAGGGGTAGAGATCAATCTAGACTGGAGGGCTCAGGAAGGGCTCACTGGAGAAGAGCCCTAAAGAGCCAGAAAAAGTAGAGGTCACTGGGTGGAAGCTACAGAAACACAGGCACTGTGTGGGCACTGGGCTTGCTCCTCGCCATCCCTACTGAGTCCAATGAAACAGGACCTCTGCCTCATGACTGTCTACTCCACGGCCATGGTCATCCTCCATTCTGCAGGCTCACCAGCTACGTATTCAGGATCTTTGCTATGGCCTCCAATGGTGGAGTGAGCAAGGGTGGAATAGATAAAGACATTCTATGCAGCAGCGCCAGATGGCTCATTACCCAGAGACAGGAAGAGGATGGGAGCTTTCAGGAAAAAGCGCCAGTGATTGTTAAGTCTATGCAGGTAGGCACTTGGGCCCCGAGGACACAAAGGAGCAGGAAGGCACGGAAGAGTGAAGGGAGGGATAATAGCTTCTCTCAGCCCATTGCCCATTGAGGTAGCCTCCTTTCCTCCTAAACTTAGCCCTGCCCCCTGCCTCAGTCTTGAAAGACAGTTTTGGGGACTGGTACATTTCAATTCAATTCAATAAACATTTATTAAGTGCCTACTAAGTGTCTGCACTGTGCTAACTGCTACAGATGCAAAAAGAGGCAAAAAACAATCCCTGCCCTCAAGGAGCTTACAATCTAATGGGAGGGGACAACATGTAAGCAAATATATACAAATCAAGCTATATACAGGACAACGGGGAGAGCACAAGGCAAAGCTGGGGTCCGGGAAGAGAAGGGGAGCCCTCCATGGTGTGCTCAGCCCTGCGTGGAAGAGAGACAGAGAAAGAGGTCCCTGGCCCCTTGGTGCTTGTGGTCTGCTCAGGGATCCCAGGATAATTGGGGGTATAGCCGAGAAGACCCTTAGGGCTACCCTCAGCTAGTCTAACTCCCTTATTTCTCATACAAGAACACTCAGATTAAGTGACTTGCCCAAGAACACACAGGCTGAAAGGAAAGGAGCCATGATTCAAACCCAGATCCTTCTACTTGAAATTTAGCACTCTTAGGACTCAGAGATGGGACAGAGAATGACACCTGAGAAAAGGCAGCCTAAGTTAGTGAAGAGAGCCTGGAGCTGAGAATTGGGAGTCCTGGCTTAGAGTCTAGCTCTGCCACCAATTTGCTGTATGATAATGAGCAAATCATCTCTCCTCTATGGGTCTCAGTTTCCCCATCTGTAAAATGAGAGCATTGCACTAGAGCCCTAAGCTATGTGAGATTTGGGAACTCAGATCAGATGTACCTCAATCCCATGTCTCCACCGAGACCCTAATCTTCTAAAGGTGCATGGTCTTGGGTTTTTCCTTTCTGCCCACTGCCCGATTTGACTCAGGGAGATCAATGCCAACAATTTAGGAAGGCCTCCTGGAAAAGGAGGGCTCCCAAACCGAGCCCAATGATTTCCAGCTGTTGTGATTCCTTCCATATCTGCAGGGTGGTTATTGGGGTTCCGAGGCCAAAGTTTCTCTGACAGCTTTGGTGTTGATTGCCCTGAAGGAAGGAGAGATTCTATGTAACTCTGAGGAGCTGGTAGGAGGCGCTGTCACCGGCACAGGGAAACACAACGGGACCTGGGGGAGACATAGGAGTCCGTGGTCTTTTCTGTGCCCTGGGTGGTGGGGTCCTGGCACTGATGGGAGGCACTGGGGCTGGGGCTGATGGGAGGCCCTGGGGCTGGGGCTGGGTCCTGGTTTAGCAGGGCCAGTACCAGGCCCTTCTGACCACTGTGCCCCACAGAATGTGAGTGCCAGTATCCAGAGGGCTGGCGCCTTCCTTGAGCAGCAGCTGCCAACCCTGAAAACAGTGTTCAGTGTGGCCATTGCCTCTTATGCCCTGGCCCTTGCAGATAGTCTCCGGGCTAATGACCGTCTGGACGACTTTGCATCACCAGGTGAGTCTGGACATGCAACCTACCCCATGGGATAACAGGGTTGTATGTCACTACCCACCTCTACCAAGATAATGTAATGCTTTCAGCTATTATTGTATTGATCTCTTCACGCTGCTTACCTTTTTTCTTCTTATATCTACATATAGTTTGAGAATTTCATCCTCAAGAGCTTCCCAACCCTCTTGGGCTAATTTCTCCTGCAAAATATTAGGCCAATTGGATTCTGCCTATCCTTTCTCTGAACTCCTTGGAACCTGCTCTCTGGGTAATCCAGGGTGCATGCCTTGCTCTGCCTGGCTTTCCTTTTTTCTTCCTACCATGAGTTCTGTGATGGAATAGTTAGTCACCTGTTCTTCCTCCTCTCCCCTCCCCTACCTCAGGCTTCTATTTTTTCTGCTCAGCAGCAACTTTCTCCACGTTGGTCAGAATCAAGTCTATAGGAGCAGTTTACTTGGTTATTTCTTCCATCTCCTGGAGGATGAAATTCTCATTAAGATTTTTGCCCTGGCCTATGACTTGATAGGGCAGGTAGGTGGCACAGTGGACAGACCACCAGCCCAGGAGTCAGGAGGACATGAGCTCAAATCAGACCTCAGATACTTACTAGCAGTATGACCATGGGCAAATCACTTAACCCTGTTTGCCTCAGTTTCTTCATCTGTAAAATTAGCCAGAGAAGGAAATGGCAAACTACTTCAGTAATTTGCCAAGAAAATCCCAAATGGGATCACAAAGAGTCAGACACAACTGAAAATGATTGGACAACAACAAAACAACAAATAACTTAATGACCAAGAGCAGACAAATGTATCAACTGTTTTCTTTTGGCAGAGAGGGGTTCAGCAGATGAATGGATAGTGGAAGTTGCCTATCACTGTAGTATATACTTCCCTGCAGAGTTTGTGATCTATTTCCCAAAGTTATCTTCCATTTCCTCCTTCTGTCCAAGTGGTCTACAGAATATTCCCATGATTATTTCCTCTCCTTCTCAGCAATGGTGTTGGCAATCACTCTTTAGGTAGAGGTTCCATGAGCCCCAGTTGGAGATCATTAGATTTAGAACTGGAAACGTAGATCACGTAGTGTGACCTTCTCATTTTATAGATGAGGAAACTAAGGCAGAGAATTTTCAGTGGTTGTGTAGAGAGGATTCTGTTCAGGTATAGTTGTATTAGATGACCTCCAGTCTCTTTCAACTCAGATTTTGTGATCTATGTGACTTCTGAAGCCCAGGAAGAGATTGGGAGAGTGAGAGGGTCTCTTACTAACAAGGAAACAGAGACCCAGAGAAGTCACAGAATCATAAATTTCATTGAGTCTAATTCTCTCATTACTGATAAGGAGACTGAGGCTCAGAGAAGTCATAGGAAAATAGAATCATGGACGTTAAGAACAGGAAAGGTCCTTAGAGACCAGTAATACAAATTCCCTTGTTTTACTTATAAGGAATCTAAAACCCAGGAAAGTGATGGGATCATAGATTTTGAGCTAGAAGGGACCTTAAAGGCCATTGAGATCAACTCCCTCATTTTACAAATGAGGAAACTGAGGCCTAGAGAAGTTAGATTCCTTGCTCGGGATCACACAGATAGTAAGCATCAGAAACAGGATTTGAATCCCTCACCCAAGGCCACAGGATCCCTGACTCAGAAACCGTACAGGATGAGTGGGTAACCAGTCAAGCCTCTTTCTTAGATAAGAGCCACTGGAAGGTGGCAAATGACAAGAAGTCACTGTATACGGTGGAGGCCACAGCATATGCTCTCCTGCAGAAGCTACACCTTGGCCGGCATGAAGATGTACACACCATCACCAAGTGGCTCATTGAGAGACGGGAGCTTGGTGGTGGCTTCCAAAGCACCCAGGTGACAAAGGTGGAGGGTACCCCCGGGGCAGCTGGCCCGGGCCACAGGAAATGATCGGCCCTCTCTTTTTTCCCCCGCAGACCACAGTGGTGGCACTTGAGGCCCTCATCCGCTACCGACAGGCCATCGCTGTTGCTGGTATCTCTAACATCCAGGTCCAGATCGCTGTCCCTAAGCGGGCATTCACTGTGGAGTGGAACATTGACCAGACTAATGCCTACCAGCTCCGCTCTCAAAAGGTACAGCACGGCAAGAAGACAGTAAGGCTTAGGCTTCCTTGTGACCAGATCTTCCCTGTTCCTGCAGCCTGGATTCCTGGACTCCTGACCTAACGACTTCTACCTTTCGAGTGGATAGCATGGTGTAGGGAGACTATTGGGCCAGGTTGTTTCTAAGGTTTCTGCATAACTCTGACATTCTGTTATTTTGCTCTCAGTTCTCAGCCCAGGATGACATCATCATCAAAGCTAGTGGCACTGGGAAAGGCACCCTCTCTGTGAGTCTGAACTTTCTTCCCCTGAGTTCAAGGTCAAGATGTTGTTGTATGGGAAGACAAACTAGAATGCTTGTTTGGAGCTTGGGGAAAAAACCCTTCCCTCACCCCTAAGAAGTGTTCTTCTCCCATTCATTTGGGTGCCTGAGTCCTTCTGACCTCCCCCCAGTTATCAGTCTTCCCCTGCCCTCAGGAGCTCCCTTCCCTTACCAATCAGCACATGGGTGAATAGGTGGGGTCTGCCATTTTCATGGGGACATCTCCACTGCACCCCAGGAATGAGAAATAGGAATGCCTTCCACTACTACCCTGGCCCCGTTCCAGAGAAAAGGCCCATGCAATGGGAGGATGCCCTGGTTCCTCTCATTCTCCACTCTCTCATCTTCTCACTGGCCCAGGTCCTGACCATCTACCACAAACTCCCAGACAGCCAAAACAGCTCTTGCCACCCTTATCATCTGAACGTAACCCTGCATCCTGATGGTGAGCCCCCTCCCCCTACACTTTCAGGGCCTTCCTGAAGAAGGGAGGCATCCCCATGTCCTTGATAAGCCTGACATTCTCCCCTACCCCATCCCTGAGGGGAGCAGCCACCCAACCTCTTCCTGGGCACAGTGTCAACATATCTGAAGGTCTCCCCCACTGGTTTCCAGGGGTGAGCACACAAAAACCCCTGGAGTCTCAACTCCTCCCCAGGCTTTTTTTATGGGTGTTTCCACAGAGAGAGGAGAGGGAGAAACCTATCATCTGAGGATCGAGGCAAGGTAACCCCATCTCTACCTTTGTGAGGTACCCTGATTTCCTATCCCTCCAAAAAAGAACACTATTCATCCTGTCCTTCCATAGTGCTCAAGTCCTCTGGCACTGGAGGCCCTGTACCTCTGAATCTGATAGATTGTTTAAGCTGGATTTAACTGTTACATCCCATGCTGGGAGGCCTCCCCTGTGGTACCTTGTGACCTGTCTGTGACTGGTTGTTCTACAGTATCAGGTCCTCAGACTTGGCAGGAATCCTTTCTGACACCAAGGCCCCATCCCCCAGACGCTCCCAAGCTGCCCAAGCCCCCTACCTCAGCCAAGTAGCACTCTACCTTCAGGTACAAAGGGCCCCAAGATGCCACAATGACCATCCTGGAGGTGTCACTGTTGACCGGCTTCTCTCCTGATGAGGGTGACCTAAAGCAGGTGATTCAAAGGACAGAAGGCAGGGACGGGGGGAAGAGTTCCTTAGTTGTATCTAGAATGACAACTACAGTTGGTTACTAATCAGAAATTAGTCCCATCATTTCTTTACACCCTCCAGAAGGGTTCATGCCTAGAGCTTTCCTTTCCCGGTACCTCCCGGTAGTTGCTGAGGAGGGAAACAATAAACCAAGTAATATATAGTCCCAATTCTACAGAAAAAGAAACTGAGGCCAAGAGAGAGGTGTAACTCACCCAATGTCACATAGCAACTTGATGGCAGGACCAAGACCAGACTTTGGGTCTCCTGATTCCTATACCTTGGACCCATTCCCATTGAACAATAACACCTCCAAAGAGGGTATCTCTGCTCAGTTGTAGAGAATTGGGCCTCAAGCTTCCCATTTGTCGAATGGGTTTGAGGAGGCTGCTCAGGGATGCAGTCTGGGAAAAAGAGTCAGATCTTGCAAGTGAATAGGTCCTTCCCCTCAATCCTGATGGGTTGATGCCATCTCCTTCAGGGCCTAGGGGCCTCACCTAGAACCCCAACATTCCTGAGTCCTCCAAGTCTCTGAGTTCTCAGCATCTAAATCCTTGACATCCTCAATATCTCCTAGTCTCTGAGTGTCCAACCTCCCAAATTCCTAATGTCTCAGAGGCCCTGAGTTCCTGACATCCCTAAGTCTCTAGCGTTCCAGTGTCCCTGTCATGCCAAATCACCTATTGTCCCCAAATCATCACCATTCTAAATCTCTGATATCCTCAGATCCCCAAGTCTCTGAGTTCTGATGTCCTAGAGACCCTGTCATCTTAGTACCCAGTGTCCCTGAATCCTTGGTGTTACAAGTCCTGGATGTCTCCATTCCTCTATTTCAGCTTACAAGTAACATTGAGATGTATGCCTTCCAGTATGAGACCAAGACCAGCTCCAGTAACAGCTCTGTCATTCTCTACCTGGAAAAGGTGAGGACAGAACAGTCCAGGCCACCTGGGAACTGAAAGTCAGCCCGAACACAGGGATATGCCCACTGGCAATCCCAAGGCAGGTTGAGGAGCTGACCCCCAAAATACCATGCTCTGTGGACCACAGCTACGAAGACACACAGGGGGTGCCCCGAGATACAGCTCCTTCTAGCCTACACTCATTAGCACATTCAGGAAACTCATACTCAGTTACCCAGTAACTTTCTCACTTATGTCCCTTGACATATAGCTCCCTGTGGTTCATGACCATTAATAGGTGAAATCAGTCAACTACCATTTATTAAGTGCATCCTTGACACATATTAAGTGCCTACTATGTGCTAAGTGCTGGAAATAGAAAGAAAGGCCAACAACAGTCCCTGCTTTCAGGGAGCTCACAGTATGATGGGGGAGACAACATGCAAAAAACTATGCATAAACAGGATATATACAGGATAAATACGGGGTGATCTCAGGGGGAAAGCCCTCAGGAACAGACACTCCAGATATCCCTCTTCCCTAGGCCCCCCATTGATGTTGGGAAGCTGACACATGCAACTTCCTCTGACCCATCCCCGTTAGCACACAGAGAGAGTCGGCACACAAATACACACCCTTCTGAAAATCTGTACCCATTGACACATTAAAATATGTGAGGGCAGGGGGCAGCTAGGTGGCACAGTGGATAGAGCACAGGCCCTGGAGTCAGAAGCGGCCTCAGACACTTGACACTTACTAACTGTGTGACCCTGGACAAGTCACTTAACCCCATTGCCTAACCCCTCCCCCCAAAAAAAGAATATATGAGGGCAATGGCAATTTCTCTAGCTAAAGCCTCAGGGAACCCCTTGGTCCTAGACACAGATTTATGGAATCCACTCCTTCCCAGTCATGTCCTCTTCCCCAAATGCTTCATGATTGTCATCTCTGGGACTGCTGATCTCTTCTTGCAAATAGCTCCCAATGTCCAATGTTCCTAGGTCAGTGCTCCCCTGGTTAGCATCTCTGTGGTCAATATACCCAGAAGTAGTATCTCTCATGATCCCCCTGCAAGCGGAGTTCCCTGTGGTCATTGTCTCCCAAGGTCAACACCTCCCATGAGGGAATATCTGCCATGGTCAGTACCTGATCAGTAACCTGTCTGGCCTCTCTCTCAGCTCTCCAACCGAAGGAACATTGTGCTTAGCTTCCGCATTCACCGGCTGCTTGAGACAGAGCTCTTGCAAGCTGCTTCTGTCACCATTATCAACTACTATGAGCCTGGTGAGTAGGGGCCAAAGTGAGTAGGACTGATGACTGAGACTTTGGAGCAAGGGAAAAGGAGGTGAGCCAGACCTAGGAGGTTGTAAAAGCCTCCAGAGCAGAGCTAAGGAGGGAACATCTGGAAGGGGCAGAGTCAAGGGAAGCCCAGGACATCCCCTGGTCCCTCAGATGGTATTTGAGTTGGACCTGAGAACTCTAGGCAGCCCAGGTCAGAGCCGTAGTCTGCATCCCTGGGGCATGAGGAGCAGGAATGCCCCAGGTACCAGTATGGGGATCAGAGAATCACTCAGAAGCAAAGCCCTTTGGAATGGGAAGGCTAAGAACACACTGTAAGGGCTGGGAAACTGAGATACTTAGCTATTCCTTGGACACCAGAAGCTGGCACATGGGGTTTGGGTTGTGGTGCAGGATATCACAAATGACCTGCTCCATCATCCTGCCATTTGGGGCCAGTCCCACCCAAATCAGTTCAGGTCAGTAGAGGTCCTTGATAGTGGGAAAGCTGCAGGATCCTGAAGGGTCCTCAGCTGCAAGCCCCCTTGTTTCTTGGCTGACCCATGGGGGAATGGCAGAGGAGAGATGCAGTGCCTTCTACAATGTGCCGGGGGACGCTGTGCTCCTGAGAAGAATCTGCCATAAAGATGTGTGCCGGTGCGCTGAAGGTGAGCTGGGGTTCTGACCCATCTGGGCCACATGGAGTAGAACTAGGTAGGAAGGAGTTGCAGTTCCCACCCTGCACAACCTGGGAGGCCCCAGTTACAGACTGAGTTCTGTAGGGGTCTCTAGAGATGCAAGAAGTAACTTTGGGAGACACCTTCTCACAGGCAATTTATTGCAAGGATGTATGGATTCAGGAACAGGTCAACATTTAGCAACCTTTAAAGGGCTCTCTAAATCATAAAGCTGGAAGAGTCTGGGATATAGTAATCTGGAGGTGGCACAGTGGTTAGAGGGCTAAACATGGAGCCAGAAAGACCTGAGTTCAAATCAAGCCTCAGACACTTAGTAGCTTTGTGACCTGGGCAAGTCACTCAACCTCTGTCTGCCTCCATTTCCTCATCTATATAACACTTACCTTCCAGGGTTGTTTTGAGGATAAAATGAGACATTTGTAAAGTGTTTTTCAAACCTTAAAGTGCTATATGAAAGCTATTATTATTGGAGAGGTAAGGGAAGACAGAGAGTGACAAAATTTGGGGGGTTTTATTTTTGTTTTAAGGCAGGAAGGACCTAAAAATAGTTGAGGGAAAGGAGTGAAGGAGTATGGAAGAGTTTTTGATTGATGCTGACATTACTCTACTTGTCCAACTGTCTATCCATCTGTCTGTCTGCCCAACTCTCTGTCCTTCCATCTGTCTGCCCGTCTTTCCTTGGGCTCCATTCTCTCTCATGTACTCAGAGAAGTGCCCCTCCCTAACCAGTAACCACAATGGCATCAACCAGAAGGAACTTCAGATTGCAGCTTGTCAGCCAGGAGTTGACTTTGGTGAGTGCCAAGGCCCCTCCTATAGCTTGCAGTGGGAACAGAGGTTCTTCCTCTGTGATCAAAGATGGGCACCTTTCAGAGGCAGGGCTGGGTGAAATCCAAGACCCCATGAGGGATAAGGGTGGGCAAGAGCTGGGAACCAGTGCCTACACATCAGAGCTAGATGGCTTCATTTTCCAATTAGTCTACAAGGCCCACTTGGTGGAACTGGAGCAGCTTGACACCTATGTCTACTACACCATGAAAATCCTAGAAGTCATCAAAAGTGGTGAGTTTAGCCCTCTGTCCAGTCTCACAGGTCGGGGGAGGGCAGAGGAAAGGTTCAGAGGGGAATGTGCTGGGCTCCCTGCATGTTCAGGAACAGAGATGAGATTGGCCCAGTAAGAGGGAGACATGTTTTTCTGCAACGGGCAGAAGAATCACATCCATGAGTCTCCCCAAAGAGACTCGGTCTTGATGTCACTCGCGTTCAAAGCACCATCAGCCCCTCTTCATTTTAGGATCATGGAATGCCGAGCTAGAAGGGACCTTACAGATGAGCCCAAACCCCTCATTTAGCATTTATTAAGCACCTACGACGTACCAGGCACTGTGCTAAATACTGGGGATACAAAGAAAGGGAAACAAACATTTCCTACTCTCGTGTACAAACAACTATGTCCAAATAAGCTATTGATAGGTTAAATTGGGGGTAATTGTAGAGGGAAAGCGCTGTTTCAAGAGGACTAGACAAGGCTTCTTGCAGAAGGGAGGACCTTGGCTGAGACTTGAAGGAAGCCAGGAATGCTAAGGGGCAGAGAGGAAGAGGAAGAGAGTTCCAGGCATAGGAGACAGCTAGAGCAAAAGCTCCAATCTGGCAGATGGAGTGACTTGGGAAAGGAATGACCAAGAGGCCAATGTCACTGGAGCAGATTCTATGAACAGGAGCAAGGTAAAAGAAAACCAAAAAGGTCTGGAGGAGTCATCTTAGGAAGGGCTTTCAAAGCTAAATAGATCATCTATTTTATTCTGGAGGCAATAGAGAGCCATTGAAGTTTGTTGAATTGAAAGTTAAAAAGTTGAAGAAAAGGACTCAGAAAGGTTAGAAGACTTGTCCAATGGTCTCACTGATCAAGCTTGTCTGCCTCCAAATCTTGCGCTTTCCCCTCTTCCTCCTTCTCCCCCTCTTCCTGCTGTCTTAACAGCCTGTAAGGCGCCTAATCCCAAAGCTCTCGAAGGGGCTTGCAGTTGATGGCAGCTTCCCCTTCCTCAGCCTCTGAGCCCCCAGTTCCTCCAGTGGCAACTTCCCTTCTCAGAAGAAGGCTCAGCCTCTTATTCAGCCCTTGGCCTGACTCAAATCCTGATATTCTCCAACTTCCATATAGAAGCTAAGGAACCTGCCTTGTTTCTCTACCCTACAGGTACAGACACTGGAGTTCTCAACAAAAACAAAAAATTTGTCTCCCACATAATGTGTTTCCATGCTCTTCAGCTGAAGGCCAATGAGACATATTTAATCATGGGCCAGTCATCAGATCTGTGGAAGACCAGAGATGAGTAAGTGCTAGAGACTGCCTTGCTTGTTAGGTGTGGGGGTTGGAGGGTCCCCAGCCCATGGCAAAGACCCTGTCCTACCTCTAATCTCAGGGCCCCCTATGTGAAGAATGATGGGACTCAGAATGTAAGACAGAGCTGGCATTAAAGGCAGGGGTTTTTAGACCATGGTCTGAGTTCTAACCTTCAAGCCTATCCAGCCAGCAGCTCAAACCTCAAATCGGCAATACACAAGTCTCTCCCATTGGACGAAATGAAGAAGCCTAGCCTCCTCCTTTCCTCCTCCCAACACCCCTTTCTTCTTTTTTTTTTATTTTTGCTAGGCAATGAGGTTAAGTGACTTGCCCAGGGTCACCCAGATAGTAAGTGTCAAGTGTCTGAGGCCGGACTTGAACTCAGGTCCTCCTGACTTCAGGGCCAATGCTCTATCTACTGTACCACCTCACTCCTTTTTCTTGTTTTAACAGCTACAGCTATGCCTTAAGCATGGATACCTTCATCATCAAGTGGCCAGAAATATCTGATGTTGCTCTTCTGGAATTTCTAAATGAGCTGGAAAGGTTTTCAGAATTTCTGAGTGTTCATGGCTGTGAATTTTAGCTGGTCTGTGTCCCATTGTGCCCTCAGAGGAGTGATGATAAAGAATGTGAATGCCTCCTATCTCTCAGCAGAGAGCTGGTAGGCTACAGGCACAGAACATGGCATACAATTTCGGACATGGCTATTGTATTCATTTGTTTTCCTTAATCTCATTTTTTATTTGTTCTATTTGGGGACAGGGAATCATTGGGAAGTGATGATGATATTTAAAAAGAAAAAAATATCAATAAAAATGTGAGGATTTAGAAAACAAGTGGTGTTCAAGCTATTCCCTCCTTGTGACCTGGGGACTTTGGCCGGAAGGCACCATTGCCTTTAGTGACCTAAGGGTTATGGTCAGAGGGAGCTATCCAGCTCAGGTACTTTAGTACTAGCATTCCCAGAGCTTTGGGACAGGTTAGCTCCCAAATCAAGGACAGGTTTATCTCCCCCACAAGTGGACAAAGGCATAAGGTGAATTTCCCAAAAGCCTGAAGATGCCTCTAGGTATAGGGGGACTTCTATGTGATTTCAATAGAAGAAAGCTCAATTCAGCCTGAATCTGACCAGAAACTGATCTTCCCTTCTGATCCTAAAAAGAAGACTTCACAGAATATAGAACAAGACTGAATGACTAAGCTATTCTGAATAATGTAAATATTCAAATCAACTACAAAGGACCTATGAAGGAAGATGCTATCCACCTCCAGAGAAAGAACTGATATATGGGAGTATGTACTGTATGGTTTCACGTGTGTGTGTGTGTGTGTGTGTGTGTGTGTGTGTGTGTGTGTGTGAAATGTTGGCCTTGGGAGAGAGGGAGGGAGACAGCTGGAAACTCAAAATGCAATGAGAGAGAGATAGACAAGGAAAGGGGGAAAAAAGAATATGCTCCAAAGCTATCAAAGGCAGAGAAAAGGGACTCATATATACAAAAATATTTATAGCAGTTCTTTTTATCATGCCAAACAACTGCAAACTAAGGGGTTGCCCCTCACTGGGGGAATGGCTGAACAAATGATGGTACATGAATTAATGGAATATTATTATACTGTAAGAAAAAAGGGATAATTTCAAAGATACCTGAGGAGACTTATAAGAAGTGATAGGGGAAGGGGAGCAGAACTAGGAGAATGATTTGTTCAATAAAATGAGCATTGTAAGGAAAAACAAATTTGAAAGACTTGAGAACTCTAAACAATGCAATGACCAAGCATAATTGCAAAGGACCAGTGATGAAGCATTAATCCATTTCCTGAGAGAAGCAATGGACTAAAGATACAGACTGAGACATACATTTTTGGACACTGGCAATGTAGGAATTCATTTTGCTTGAAGATGCATATTTGCTGCAAGGATTTTTTTTTCTTTTCCTTTTTTCAATTTTATTGGGGGGAGGGGAATGAAAGTGTAGTTGATAGGGTTACCAAAAGCAGAGAAAGGAAAGAAAGAAAAGTAGGTCATTGAAACGTTTTCTTAATAAACAGAAGAGAACAGAAGGAAACACAGACAAGCAGGACAAGCTTTGAAAGGTACACACTGAATTTATTATATACTTAAAATGAAAAGCGAGCTGGATATAATAGAAATGCAGTTTTGTGTACAATTCTCTTTTTATTGTAATAGTTTATGGAAATATTCATTTTACTTAGTACTTGTTAATTTCAGGAAAAAAAATGAAATAAAATAAAATAAGTCATGACATGGCAGAAGCAGGAGGAAAAGACCAGGCAGGGGCCCTGGAAGCAGAGCTATGGAGCAAGAAGATTAGCTCTGGGCAGAGAAGCCCCAGTTGCAGGTTCCTATGTAGTGCAGAAGTACAGGAAGTGACCACAGGAGACACTCAGAGGTGCAGTTTTAGGTGAGGTTTCTTGCAAGTGTGACACTGTATGTATCACATCTGACACTTGGGTCACTGCATTAGCAGGATAGCAGTATAAACAATCCAAATCAGCTTGTGTTTTGGCCTGCAATAAGCCTTTGAGACACCATTATGCTGCTATGCAAAGTATCCAGATGAGGAGCATAATGTCTGAGTTGTTAAACAGGTAGTACTCTACTCAATGGACCAGACAAGTGGTCTCTTCAGAGTCTCTCTGGCACCTGTGTGTGCGAGCCTTATCCACTCTGGCCTCTACAGGGTCAGCCTACAAACACAGGCTGCTCTTACCTTCCACCTTGATGTAGTGTGCCTGGAGGAGTTAATAAACCATGCTGGCTAATTTCAAAATTTAGCCAAGAGATGATACATGCTCCAAGTATCAAAATTTGGAATCTATGACTCTCCAGTCCTTATCCTACATCTGGAATCTCCATTATCGATCATTACCTTTCCCAGGCTCTTGGCACTACATTCTCAGGAAACAGGTACTGTGACCTCGAAATTTATAAAAACAGTGAAGATGAAAGAGGAAAAAGGACTTCTACATGAAGCCATCCATCTCTAAACATCTCCCCACACATCCTCTAGCTTGACCTCCCAGTTATTTAAGGTGACTGGTCATAGGGGAGGGCAGTGGGGAATCCTGAAGCTGCCACCACCACCGCCTAAGGCTTTTGGAAAGGATGGCAATTCCTCCCATACGATTAGGGAACCAGGATGCAGGTGTACTCTCCCTAAAGTACAAGTCACTTATGTAGATCCTGAAAGAAATTATCCCACCTTCTACAGTAAGCCTTTCCCAATCCCTCTTAATTCCAGCACCTTCTCTCCATTAATCATTTCCTCGTTATCTTGTATATAATTTGTTTGTACATAGTTGTTTGCGTGTTGCCTCACCATTAGATTGTAAGCTCCTTGAGGATAGAGACTATCTTTTGCCTTTCTTTGTATCTCCAGTACATAATACAGTGCCTAACACATACTAGGAGCTTAATAAATGCTTATTGACTGACTGACTGACTGACCTTCAAAGATGCTTCTTGGGAAGAAGCAGTCAACTCAGAGGTGGTTATGAGAAATCTGAAAGAAAATGAAACCTAACAACTAACAGCTAACATCTAACAACTCTTGACTTGAGATGGAGTTGGTAGGCCTGGTTAACTGGATGCCTCTTGATTAGGAATGGGGAAAGTCAATATATTGCTTACCTGTGTGGAAGCCTGGGCCCTTACAGGAGGAGTTATCTTTGTTCTTTCTCTTTTTTATTCAGCTTTTTCCAATAGCAATAGCCCTAACACTGATGGCTGAAGGCCATCATTATTTATCTCTTCTTCTCCCAGCGCTTTGTATGGGACTAGTGCCCTCCTCTCAAACTCTCCTGTATACATTGAACTATTTTGTATGTACTTGTAATTATTCTCTTTATGTTTATTCTATATACACTAATATAGGGCTTCTTAAACTTTTTCCACTCTGAACCCCTTTTTGCTTGAGAAATTTTTACGTGACTCTGGGGTATATAGGAATATATACAAATCAAACCTTTACCAATAATAAATCATTAAGAAATTTATTTTAAAACAATTGGTATACATATAATTTTATCATTTATTAAAGATGAGAGCAAATTTGCATACTAAGGAGATAGATGTGCTTATTTATTTGTACATAAAGAATTAAATCTTGGCTAAATATTTGATACTACAGGATGTAGAGCATCTTCAATGTTTTTCAGAGTTTTCAGAGTTTCAGAGTTGATATTTTGATTTTATAATCGTCAGTGCTGAGAACACCACTTCTCATAAATACATAGTACAAAATGGCAAAAGGATGTTTAGGGCCAGAAATTTTCAGAAATTATTGGAAATTCTGTCCTAATCCCAAGCCAAAATTCATTTAGTGATTTTTAAAGGAAACTCAAGTTTTAATCCTGTGTCACTTAATTAACTTGGCAAATTCTTCTTGAATGGCAGATGACTGATTTTTTTTTAATTTCAATTGAGTATGGCTTATGAAACCAACTTTCTGTTTTAGAATCAAAATTTGAAGGGAAGTATTTCTGAAATCGTGTCTCCAGGCACTTCAAATGATCAATTATAACTCTTATAAATCTTTGGGAAGGTTATTTTCAATTATAAAATCAACTGTAGCTGTAAACATTTCTAAAGAACCATTTTCCATCCTATTCTTCCATATGCTAACTTTTTAATAAAACTTTCAATTTTATCTTTTAACATAAATGTTACAATTTTTCCTGTAGGTGACACATTTAAATCTTTTTTTAATATCTGACAAATAACAGTTTTGAAAGCTATGTCATTATGAAAAAAGTGAACAAAATTGGATTTCTGCTCAGTCAAAAATATAACAACTCCATCTTCCAATTTCAATAATCTGTTTAAACTTTGCCGTCTTGAGAGCCACCTTCCTTCCCTCTGCATGTAGTAATAAGCTTTTGTAATAGGAGTCCATGTCTTTCCAAAAGTTTGAAAATAAACGACTGATACGAAATGCAAAATGGATAACTTTGATTACATTAAATTGAAAAGTTTTTGCACAAACAAAGCCAGTGCAACCAAGATTAGAAGGAAAGTAGAAAATTGGGAAAGAATTTTTATAACCAGTCTCTCTGATAAGGGTCTCATTTCTAAAATATACAGAAAATTAAGTGAAATTTATAAGAATACAAGTCATTCCCCAATTGATAAATGGTCAAAGGATATGAACAGACAGTTCTCAGACGAAGAAATTAAAGCCATCTATCGTCATATGAAAAAATGCTCTAAATCACTATTGATTAGAGAAATGCAAATCAAAACAACTCTGAGGTACTACATCACACCCATCAGATTGGCCAACATGACAAAACAGGAAAATGATAAACATTGAAGAAGATGTGAGAAAATTGGAACACTAATGCATTGTTAGTAGAGTTGTGAAATGATCCAACCATTTTGGAGAGCAATTTGGAACTATGCCCAAAGGGCTATAAAAATGTGCATACCCTTTAACCCAGCAATAGCACTTCTAGGGCTGTATCCTAAAGAGATCATACAAATGGGAAAAGGACCCACATGTACAAAAATATTTATAGCAGCTCTTTCTGTGGTGGCAAAGAATTGGAAATTAAGAGGATGCCCATCAATTGGGGAATGGCTGAACAAGTTGTGGTATATGAATGTAATGGAATACTATTGTGCCATGAGAAATGATGAACAGGCTGACTTCAGAAAAACCTGGAAGGACTTGTATAGTCTGATGCTGAGTGAAGTGAGCAGAACCAAGAGAACGTTGTACACAATAACAGCCATGTTGTGCAATGACTAATATTGATAAACTTAACCCTTCCCAGCAATACAAGAATCTAAGACATCTCCAAAGGCCTCTTGATG